CTAATTGTTATGATGGGGGGGGGGGTATCCATTTGGAGGACGTCACTTCTTCATGATTATTAATGAGGGGGGCTGGTCGACGTGGAGTGACGTCACGAGCGTTGCACACAGACATTCTTGGCTCATTGTAGTTATAGTCGGGAGTAATAATCGGCGGGGGGCATTTGGAGGACGTCACCTGCTCATGAATATTAATGAGGGGTGAGGGGTGTCCACTTGGAGGACGTCACCTGCTCATGAATATTAATGAGGGGGGCAAGTTGCCGTGGAGTGACGTCACGAGCGTTAAGGAGAGACGTTCCCGGGTGATTAGAGGCGGCATTAACGAGTTAAAGAGTCGGACTACGGCCCAGATTGCAACGTGACTTCACTTGTGTGCCCACACTGACCTGTATCCCCTCATACACGAGGACAATCGTCGTTTATCAAACATCCCAGTGAAGGACGCTCCCGAAGAAGGGTATTGAGACTCGGTGAGGCTTTCCTGAACAAATGAAAACAATTCAGTTCAGTGAGCGGCTGACGGCCTCTACAGAAGAGACACGCGCTCACTCTGAGGTGAGGTCCATCCGTGCTGTGTGTGCCTGCCATAGCAATCGTCACCTTCCTGTGGGAGATTGACAATGGTAGAAAGGAGGTCTCATAGTGATTGACAATGATGTCACCACGTCCCAGGCACGACCCCCACGCACCTCCCTCCCCTCCCTCCCCAATCTCCTTTCCTCCCCTCCATCCCCTCCCTCTCCATCCTCTCCCTTCTTCATTCCCTCCACCCTCCTTGCCTCCTCCATTCACCGCCTTCCCCTCCACCCCCTCCTTTCACCATCCCCTCCCTCCAGCCCCCACCCCCTCCTCCCACCAGCCCCCCACCCCCTCCTCCCACCAGCCCCCACCCCCTCCTCCCTCCAGCCCCCACCCCCTCCTCCCACCAGCCCCCACCCCCTCCTCCCACCAGCCCCCACCCCCTCCTCCCTCCAGCCCCCACCCCCTCCTCCCACCAGCCCCCACCCCCTCCTCCCTCCAGCCCCCACCCCCTCCTCCCACCAGCCCCCACCCCCTCCTCCCACCAGCCCCCACCCCCTCCTCCCTCCAGCCCCCACCCCCTCCTCCCACCAGCCCCCACCCCCTCCTCCCTCCAGCCCCCACCCCCTCCTCCCTCCAGCCCCCACCCCCTCCTCCCTCCAGCCCCCACCCCCTCCTCCCACCAGCCCCCACCCCCTCCTCCCACCAGCCCCCACTCCTCCATCCTCTCCTTCCTCCCTCCCCCCTCCTCCCTCCCCTCCATCCCCCACCCCCTCCTCCCACCAGGCCCCACCCCCTCCTCCCACCAGCCCCCACCCCCTCCTCCCTCCAGCCCCCACCCCCTCCTCCCTCCAGCCCCCACCCCCTCCTCCCTCCAGCCCCCACCCCCTCCTCCCACCAGCCCCCACCCCCTCCTCCCACCAGCCCCCACTCCTCCATCCTCTCCTTCCTCCCTCCCCCCTCCTCCCTCCCCTCCATCCCCCACCCCCTCCTCCCACCAGGCCCCACCCCCTCCTCCCTCCAGCCCCCACCCCCTCCTCTCTCCAGCCCCCACCCCCTCCTCCCTCCAGCCCCCACTCCTCCATCCTCTCCTTCCTCATTCCCCCCCTCCTCCCTCCCCTCCATCCCCAACCCCCTCCTCCCACCAGCCCCCACCCCCTCCTCCCTCCAGCCCCCACCCCCTCCTCCCTCCAGCCCCCACCCCCTCCTCCCTCCAGCCCCCACCCCCTCCTCCCACCAGCCCCCACCCCCTCCTCCCACCAGCCCCCACCCCCTCCTCCCTCCAGCCCCCACCCCCTCCTCCCTCCAGCCCCCACCCCCTCCTCCCACCAGCCCCCACCCCCTCCTCCCACCAGCCCCCACCCCCTCCTCCCTCCAGCCCCCACCCCCTCCTCCCTCCAGCCCCCACCCCCTCCTCCTACCAGCCCCCACCCCCTCCTCCCTCCAGCCCCCACCCCCTCCTCCCTCCAGCCCCCACCCCCTCCTCCCACCAGCCCCCACCCCCTCCTCCCACCAGCCCCCACCCCCTCCTCCCTCCAGCCCCCACCCCCTCCTCCCTCCAGCCCCCACCCCCTCCTCCTACCAGCCCCCACCCCCTCCTCCCTCCAGCCCCCACCCCCTCCTCCCTCCAGCCCCCACCCCCTCCTCCCACCAGCCCCCACCCCCTCCTCCCACCAGCCCCCACCCCCTCCTCCCACCAGGCCCCACCCCCTCCTCCCTCCAGCCCCCACCCCCTCCTCTCTCCAGCCCCCACCCCCTCCTCCCTCCAGCCCCCACTCCTCCATCCTCTCCTTCCTCATTCCCCCCCTCCTCCCTCCCCTCCATCCCCAACCCCCTCCTCCCACCAGCCCCCACCCCCTCCTCCCTCCAGCCCCCACCCCCTCCTCCCTCCAGCCCCCACCCCCCTCCTCCCTCCAGCCCCCACCCCCTCCTCCCACCAGCCCCCACCCCCTCCTCCCACCAGCCCCCACCCCCTCCTCCCCCAGCCCCCACCCCCTCCTCCCTCCAGCCCCACCCCCTCCTCCCACCAGCCCCCACCCCCCCTCCTCCCACCCCACCCCCTCCTCCCCCCAGCCCCCCCCCCTCCTCCCACCCCCCCCTCCTCCCTCCAGCCCCCACCCCCTCCTCCCTCCAGCCCCCACCCCCTCCTCCTACCAGCCCCCACCCCCTCCTCCCTCCAGCCCCCACCCCCTCCTCCCTCCAGCCCCCACCCCCTCCTCCCACCAGCCCCCACCCCCTCCTCCCACCAGCCCCCACCCCCTCCTCCCTCCAGCCCCCACCCCCTCCTCCCTCCAGCCCCCACCCCCTCCTCCTACCAGCCCCCACCCCCTCCTCCCTCCAGCCCCCACCCCCTCCTCCCTCCAGCCCCCACCCCCTCCTCCCACCAGCCCCCACCCCCTCCTCCCACCAGCCCCCACTCCTCCATCCTCTCCTTCCTCCCTCCCCCCTCCTCCCTCCCCTCCATCCCCCACCCCCTCCTCCCACCAGGCCCCACCCCCTCCTCCCTCCAGCCCCCACCCCCTCCTCTCTCCAGCCCCCACCCCCTCCTCCCTCCAGCCCCCACTCCTCCATCCTCTCCTTCCTCATTCCCCCCCTCCTCCCTCCCCTCCATCCCCAACCCCCTCCTCCCACCAGCCCCCCACCCCCTCCTCCCTCCAGCCCCCACCCCCTCCTCCCTCCAGCCCCCACCCCCTCCTCCCTCCAGCCCCCACCCCTCCTCCCACCAGCCCCCACCCCCTCCTCCCACCAGCCCCCACCCCCTCCTCCCTCCAGCCCCCACCCCCTCCTCCCTCCGCCCCCACCCCCTCCTCCCACCAGCCCCCACCCCCTCCTCCCACCAGCCCCCACCCCCTCCTCCCTCCAGCCCCCACCCCCTCCTCCCTCCAGCCCCCACCCCCTCCTCCTACCAGCCCCCACCCCCTCCTCCCTCCAGCCCCCACCCCCTCCTCCCTCCAGCCCCCACCCCCTCCTCCCACCAGCCCCCACCCCCTCCTCCCACCAGCCCCCACCCCCCTCCTCCCTCCAGCCCCCACCCCCTCCTCCCTCCAGCCCCCACCCCCCTCCTCCTACCAGCCCCACCCCCTCCTCCCTCCAGCCCCCACCCCCTCCTCCTCCAGCCCCCACCCCCTCCTCCCACCAGCCCCCACCCCCTCCTCCCACCAGCCCCCACCCCCTCCTCCCACCAGGCCCCACCCCCTCCTCCCTCCAGCCCCCACCCCCTCCTCTCTCCAGCCCCCACCCCCTCCTCCCTCCAGCCCCACTCCTCCATCCTCTCCTTCCTCATTCCCCCCCGCCTCCTCCCCTCCATCCCCAACCCCCTCCTCCCACCAGCCCCCACCCCCTCCTCCCTCCAGCCCCCACCCCCTCCTCCCTCCAGCCCCCACCCCCCTCCTCCCTCCAGCCCCCACCCCCTCCTCCCACCAGCCCCCACCCCCCTCCTCCCACCAGCCCCCACCCCCTCCTCCCTCCAGCCCCCACCCCCTCCTCCTCCAGCCCCCACCCCCTCCTCCCACCAGCCCCCACCCCCTCCTCCCACCAGCCCCCACCCCTCCTCCCTCCAGCCCCCACCCCCTCCTCCCTCCAGCCCCCACCCCCCTCCTCCTACCAGCCCCCACCCCCTCCTCCCTCCAGCCCCCCACCCCCTCCCACTCCAGCCCCCACCCCTCCTCCCTCCAGCCCCCACCACCCTCCTCCCACCAGCCCCCACCCCCTCCTCCCACCAGCCCCCACCCCCTCCTCCCCCAGCCCCCACCCCCCTCCTCCTACCAGCCCCCACCCCCTCCTCCTACCAGCCCCCACCCCCTCCTCCCTCCAGCCCCCACCCCCTCCTCCCCCAGCCCCCACCCCCTCCTCCACCAGCCCCCACCCCCTCCTCCCACCAGCCACCACTCCTCCATCCTCCGTCCTCCCTCCCCCCTCCTCCTCCCCTCCATCCCCCACCCCCTCCTCTCTCCAGCCCCCACCCCCTCCTCCCTCCAGCCCCCACACCCCTCCTCCCACCAGCCCCCACCCCCTCCTCCCTCCAGCCCCCACCCCCTCCTCCCCAGCCAGCCCCCACCCCATCCTCCTCCCACCAGCCCACCCCTCCTCCCTCCAGCCCCCACCCCCTCCTCCCTCCAGCCCCCACCCCCTCCTCCTACCAGCCCCCACCCCCTCCTCCCTCCAGCCCCCACCCCCTCCTCCCTCCAGCCCCCACCCCTCCTCCCTCCAGCCCCCACCCCCTCCTCCCTCCAGCCCCCACCCCCTCCTCCCACCAGCCCCCACCCCCTCCTCCCACCAGCCCCCACTCCTCCATCCTCTCCTTCCTCCCTCCCCCCTCCTCCCTCCCCTCCATCCCCCACCCCCTCCTCTCTCCAGCCCCCACCCCCTCCTCCCTCCAGCCCCCACTCCTCCATCCTCTCCTTCCTCATTCCCCCCCTCCTCCCTCCCCTCCATCCCCAACCCCCCCTCCTCCTCCTCCACCTCCTCCTCCTCCCCTCTCTCTCATCCGGACCCCGCCCTGAGTCTCTGTGTCCCGTCAGGCCGACCGCGTCTCGGTTCATCCGTCTGCTCATACACAGACACACTCACACAGGGACACACAGACAGACACGTACACACAGACAGACACGTACACAGAGACACGTACAGACACGTACACACAGACACGTACAGACAGAGACGTACACACAGACACACAGACACGCAGACACGTACACACAGACACAGAGACACGTACAGAAAGAGACACACAGACGCAGAGACACGTACACACAGACACGTACACACACAGAAACGTACGCACAGAAACGTACGCACAGACACACACACAGACACACACAGACACGTACACAGAGACACACAGACAGATACAGAGACACAGCGGCGAGAAGAGGGGAGAGCGGAGAGATTGCGGTAAGATTCAGCACACAGACACACACCACCACATGTGTTTATTTAGCGTGTGTCCTGGAAACTGTATACTGCATGTAAACTGTTGTGTGTATATATACACTGTAGTGTGTATGGGGAGTAGTGTGTATCGAGTATAGTGTGTATAGGCAATAGCATGTACAGATAATGTATGGGTTATTGACATGCGTGTCATATACAGCGTGTGAATGTGGTATGTGAACAGACAATAGGCTGTATGGTGGTGTGTGTGTGTGATATACATTGTGGTGTGTGTGTTATATACATTGTGTATGTGGATACTGCAGACAAGAAGGCGCGTTGTGTGTAGAGACAATGGGGTATGGTGGTGTGTGTGTAGAGACAATGGGATATGGTGGTGGTGTGTGTGTAGAGACAATTTGATATGGTGGTGTGTGTGTGTGGAGAGACAATGGGGTATGGTGGTGTGTGTGTGTGTAGAGACAATGGGGTATGGTGGGGTGTGTGTGTAGAGACAATGGGGTATGGTGGTGTGTGTGTGTAGAGACAATGAGGTATGGTGGTGTGTGTGTGTAGAGACAATGGGGTATGGTGTGTGTGTGTGTGTGTAGAGACAATGGGATATGGTGGTGTGTGTGTAGAGACAATGGGGTATGGTGGTGTGTGTGTGTAGAGACAATGGGGTATGGTGGTGTGTGTGTGTAGAGACAATGGGGTATGGTGTGTGTGTGTGTGTAGAGACAATGGGATATGGTGGTGTGTGTGTAGAGACAATGGGGTATGGTGGTGTGTGTGTGTAGAGACAATGGGGTATGGTGGTGTGTGTGTGTAGAGACAATGTGATATGGTGGTGTGTGTGTGTGTAGAGACAATGGGGTATGGTGGTGTGTGGAGACAATGGGGTATGGTGGTGTGTGTGTGTGTGTGTAGAGACAATGGGGTATGGTGGTGTGTGTGTAGAGACAATGGGATATGGTGGTGTGTGTGTGTAGAGACAATGGGATATGGTGATGTGTGTGTGTGTAGAGACAATGGGGTATGGTGGTGTGTGTGTGTAGAGACAATGGGGTATGGTGGTGTGTGTGTGTAGAGACAATGGGGTATGGTGGTGTGTGTGTGTAGAGACAATGGGATATGGTGGTGTGTGTGTGTAGAGACAATGGGATATGGTGATGTGTGTGTGTGTAGAGACAATGGGGTATGGTGGTGTGTGTGTGTAGAGACAATGGGGTATGGTGGTGTGTGTGTGTAGAGACAATGGGGTATGGTGGTGTGTGTGTGTAGAGACAATGGGGTATGGTGTGTGTGTGTGTAGAGACAATGGGATATGGTGGTGTGTGTGTAGAGACAATGGGGTATGGTGTGTGTGTGTGTAGAGACAATGGGGTATGGTGGTGTGTGTGTGTAGAGACAATGGGGTATGGTGGTGTGTGTGTGTGTAGAGACAATGGGGTATGGTGGTGTGTGTGTGTGTAGAGACAATGGGATATGGTGGTGTGTGTGTAGAGACAATGGGATATGGTGGTGTGTGTGTGTAGAGACAATGGGGTATGGTGGTGTGTGTGTGGAGACAATGGGGTATAGTGGCGGCCGTGTGTGCCATGTATGGTGTGTAAGTTGATCGACAATATTGAGAATCTGTGGGCATGCATGATTAACATGTGTGGCATGTACAGCGTGTGTATCGACGATATTACAATGTGTACATATAATGTGTATCGGAGAGGTCGTGTGTGTTAATATCGTGTGTATAGACAATATTATAAATACTATGCGTGTATATGAGCGTGTACGTGTATAGACAATGTGATATATAGTAGGTATTTATGTGCGGTGTGTGTAGGCAATAGATGTGAGTATATTGTGTACAATATACAGTGGAGTGTGCGAACCGTGGTGACGTCTGACATGTAACGTGTGTATGTTGTGTGTGTGTCGTGTGTGGAAGCCTTCATCTAGTCGTTGGTTGACAAAGGGGCCCTACAACAGTGATGACAGTGTGTTGTGTTGTGTGTGTTGTGTGTGTTTCTAGTGTGTATATATCTGTAGGTGTATGGTTTGTGTGCGTGTGATGATGACGGGGAGCGGTGGCGCAGTGGTTCACGGGCAACATCGGTCACGATTATCTGGACGGGTCCCGGGCCTGTAAATGAGTTCCTGGTGCGGTTGTGTAATCATCATCATCATCTGTTGGGGGGGAGATAAAGGCGGCCCGGACTTGGTACTGGACCATCGACCCCTCGTTTTCCATGCCGTCCGTCTTAGCAGCACTTGCAACAACAACTGTGAAGGTTGATGAGTATATATGTGTGTATATGTGTGTGTATATGTGGGGGTTGTCAATGTTGTGGATTTGCTCTCCGACACCCCGGTGGTGCTGTACCAGCAACGAATTGGCACGTTCTGTCGTGACAAACCTCACTAATTGGCTTTGTCGGGTGGTGGCGAGTTTAACAACATTTTTACACGATACAACCCAAAACACCCATATCATGGATTATATATGGGGGTTCTTTGTCTTGCTGAGGGTGTTTATTGTGTGATGATGTGAACCGTGTGGTATTCGCTGTGCTCCGTGCCGGCCTTCATAGGTGGCTGGCGGCAGCACTTGCCCCAACAGGCTGTAACAGGCTGTACGGGGGATCTTTATATTGGTGTATATTATTGTGTGTACAGTAATCATACTGTGTTGTGTGTGTGTACGGTGTGTTGTGTGTGTGTACGGTGTGTTGTGTGTGTGTACGGTGTGTTGTGTGTGTATACGGTGTGTTGTGTGTGTACGGTGTGTTGTGTGTGTGTACGGTGTGTTGTGTGTGTACGGTGTGTTGTGTGTGTACGGTGTGTGTGTAGGGTGTGTTGTGTGTGTGTACGGTGTGTTGTGTGTGTGTACGGTGTGTTGTGTGTGTACGGTGTGTTGTGTGTGTACGGTGTGTTGTGTGTGTGCACGGTGTGTTGTGTGTGTGTAGGGTGTGTTGTGTGTGTGTACGGTGTGTTGTGTGTGTGTACAGTGTGTTGTGTGTGTGTACAGTGTGTTGTGTGTGTGTACGGTGTGTTGTGTGTGTACGGTGTGTTGTGTGTGTGCACGGTGTGTTGTGTGTGTGTACGGTGTGTTGTGTGTACGGTGTGTTGTGTGTGTGTACGGTGTGTTGTGTGTGTGTACGGTGTGTTGTGTGTGTGTAGGGTGTGTTGTGTGTGTGTACGGTGTGTTGTGTGTGTGCACGGTGTGTTGTGTGTGTGTACGGTGTGTTGTGTGTGTGCGGTGTGTTGTGTGAGTGCACGGTAACTCTACATAGGTTAATACAGTCGCTCGTGCACTGACGGGAGTGACCCGGCTGTAGTTTCTCTTCTTTTGAATAAGCATCTCGGGGAGCGACGCCCATCGATTGACTCAAAAGCTGAATAATTTACGTAATCAAACCGACTCAAGAGTGGCGTCTGGATCTAACAAGCGTAGCGAGTTGGTCACCGCTGTCGAAAGCTCCGTGCCAGAGGTGGAAATTCCACATCCCCATGTCAGAGGCCATAATAATGTTAATTTGCACTTTATTAGACGCATTTTACAGTGCCTCAAAGCCACCGCTGTCTTCTTACATCCCCAGTGCCTGTGTCCTTAACCCTGTGTCCTTAACCCTGTGTCCTTAACCCTGTGTCCTTAACCCTGTGCCCTTAACCCTGTGCCCTTAACCCTGTGCCCTTAACCCTGTGTCCTTAACCCTGTGTCCTTAACCCTGTGTCCTTAACCCTGTGTCCTTAACCCTGTGTCCTTAACCCTGTGCCCTTAACCCTGTGCCCTTAACCCTGTGTCCTTAACCCTGTGTCCTTAACCCTGTGTCCTTAACCCTGTGTCCTTAACCCTGTGCCCTTAACCCTGTGTCCTTAACCCTGTGTCCTTAACCCTGTGTCCTTAACCCTGTGTCCTTAACCCTGTGTCCTTAACCCTGTGCCCTTAACCCTGTGCCCTTAACCCTGTGTCCTTAACCCGGTGTCCTTAACCCTGTGTCCTTAACCCTGTGTCCTTAACCCTGTGTCCTTAACCCTGTGTCCTTAACCCTGTGTCCTTAACCCTGTGCCCTTAACCCTGTGTCCTTAACCCTGTGCCCTTAACCCTGTGTCCTTAACCCTGTGCCCTAACCCTGTGCCCTAACCCTGTGCCCTTAACCCTGTGTCCTTAACCCTATGCCCTAACCCTATGCCCTAACCCTGTGCCCTAACCCTATGTCCTTAACCCTGTGCCCTTAACCCTGTAATCGACGAAGAAGTGGCCGAGTGGCACTGCTGGCTCTGAATCCAGGTTTCAGGCACCCAGCCACAGTGGTGAAACCAGCTCCTCTATGTACAGTATATAGGATTGCACTTCTTCCGTACGTAGCCAACCTTGCTAATCGATTGTTTTTCCAGCCAGGCGTAGCTCCACTTCCATTAGGACGTGGGGTGGGGGGCATCACAGTGATCCACCGCTAAGCAGTGAACTTGGGGGGCCGAGGGGACGCTTCGTGGTGCAGAGCCCAGCCCAGCATCACCCCCACGCACGCACCGGTTTCAGCCCAGTCACTAGTGACTTGCATAACAACGTCAATAAGCAGACACAATACGTTTCTTAGACACATCCGCCCGTTTCTCCGCATGAATACATATAAAATATATTTCTTACACAACCCATCAGCCATGAATTAATCAGCATTGTTAAATTAATCAGTATTCTTTCAAGACAAAGACTTACAAGGACTCGCACAGACACCCATGGGCCGAGATAGAATTAGTTGTAATTAAACTGTGTTCTCACGTGGAGTGAGTTCATGGTTTTATCTAGGTCACCAATGGCTGCACAAACATACCATCACATTGCATTTAGGGGTTTTTTTTAATTAAAAAAAAATCTATCTATGTGACTTTACCAAAAACCAAATAATATAATTGCATTTGTATATGTAAGATTTTGAAACTAAAGCAATAGCTTCAAGCACACTAAAACCATCTGCTTTGTTGAGATATGTGGATGACACATTGGTGGTCTGGCCACACAGAAAAGATACACTGAACGCTTTTCGAAATCATCTCAACTCGCAAAACCCATCCATCCAGTTCACCATGGAAGTGTAAGCTGACAGAACTTCACCATTTCTGGATATTCTACTGGACCGGGTCGAAATGGTAAAATAACACACAGTGTTTACCGAAAGAAAACGCATACTTACGCCTATCTGAATGCAGAGTCACACAATCACCCCGCACAGAAATCTGGTCTTATCAAGACGCTCATTCATCGAGCAAAGAAAGTGTCAGATGATGACAGTCTGAGAAGTGAAATCCAACATGTTAAAGAAGCGCTGCAAATAAACGGTTACAAAGATGCACAAATCAACTGGTCATTGAATGCCAAAACCAATTCAAATAACAAGAGCATTGAAACTACCCATGTAATTAAAACGATCAAAATACCGTACATTGCGGGAGTAACTGATAAATTAGCCAGATGTTTGGAAAAATAAAACATCCATGTCAGATTTGGCACAGTACATAAAATACAGAAATTAATATCTGGTACAAAAGATGCATTACCGAAGCTATCAACAAGGTGTACAGGATTAGATGCACGTGTGGTAAATGTTATGTTGGGCCAACAGGACAAATGATCAGCACGAGACTAAAATAACATCAGAGAAATATTAAATTATCCCAAATACAACTGTCAGCAGTAGCAGAACACGCATGACAACAAGGACACTCAAACTAGCTACTACTGCCCAATACTAATTAGAGCATCTATCGAAATTGAAAGACGTACAAATAACTTTAACCGTTCGGATAGCTACCGCCTTAGTGCTGTGTGGAAGCGAATTATCAAATAATTCATTATTTTAATGAATGCTGATAAAGGGCAGCATACTTCAATAGGGATTACTGTTGGTAGGCTATTTTAATACACACAATAGACACGAATGACAAGTTAAAAGGATTCGCATAATACATAATGTATGTTGCCTCAGTAATCCCCTCCCCCCCCCCACGTGGCGCAAGAGTGGAGAAGCGTGGTCACCACATCTACACCTCTATATAAGGAACGAAACAGTAAGACTTCTGCACAAATCTGGCTGACGCCTGATGAAGCTAGTTGTAATTACTGGCGAAACGTCATACTCAGATTGTAAATGTTGTGGCTTGGCTCTCCAACACACCGGTGTGCTGTACTAGTGACGAATTGGCATGTTCTGTTTATGTGACAACCCATTACTAGTTGGCTGTGTCGGGTGGTGGTGGGTTTTAACGACACATTTATATATTTGCGCGATCTAATCCAAAAAAAAAACTCTCATGGATGATATTGGTCGTGAAAGCCTACGTGTTAAATTGGCTTTGCATTTGGTTTGGGTTTTATTGATTTGGCTCCTTCAGAACAGCTTTTTGTCTTTAGTATGCTGTTCTTCCCCCGCACCTCCGATTAGGACGGTTGGATACGTACTGTGCGAAAGAAGTTCAACATACATACACACTCTGAGCTTTACACGTGTCGTGCTGATCGTTGTGACAAACACTGTCCAGGGCATACACCATACAGGCACCACGTGTGCAGAGAGAATCCCATTGTAGTGGCTTGAGATGGAGTTCTGTGATATTATATTTCAGGGCTGTCCCCTGACAGAGTGGTGCACTGCTTGCTGTGTTTGAGTTCAAAAGGGAAATTAATTACATGTCACGAGGAAAATTGCACCGTTTGAATATCATTTGGTAAAATCCCAAAAACATAACAAATGAATTGAACAACATGAATGTGCAGATTGCAGATACAGCAGAAGCAAACCTCTGTTCTGCATCTCCACATATCAATACTGTGTCGGATTCTTTTAATCCATTGGCCAATTCGATTTTTAGACCAATAACCTACAGTAGTTTTTTGTTATTTTTTTGTTATTTTCTTTGAACCTATCTACATGACTTTACCGAAAGACCCAAGAATACAAATATACTCTTTGACTCCTGACATTCAGACTGCCTTAAGAACTGACTGGCTGATACGTGGACTTATTGATGCATGTAAAAAAATCTCACTGCCTGATTCACAGCCTGACTAGATGACTGGATTGTGGTCGTGTCTGTTCAGGTAGACGGAGGTGACAGCAAGAGATGTGGGAATAACACCTGGAAGAGCCACACCTCAAACACATGGCCAGAAATAAGTGCAATGGATTATAGGAACCCAGACTCGGGATCTCAATTGCTCCTCCTCAGTTCCAGGAACCCCATGTATGAAGATCTGAAATGAGTGATGTGATGTTATAAATTCCTGAAACAAAACTTATTTTCCCAAGCTACTGGGATGAGGGATACCTTAATCAGATATTCTGGAACAATAGTTGCCATGTCCTGAAATTCTGGAATAAGCAATTGCCTGCAATTCCCAGCGCAGGGATATCACCTCCAAAGTCCTTGGCTCCACATTTTGCACACAGCCGGTTGAGTCATTACTGCCTTGGAAAGAGGCAAGGTCTCACAACAGCCGTTTTTGGAAGGACGTACACATTTGTCCCATTTATTGTTATTTCAAACCAGTTCGAATTGAACAAAGAAAAAATTCCAACAAAAAGTGAATCAGAAACTTAGCAATAGTCTCCTTGCTCAAGCAAGTGTATGCCAGTCCCCATCGCCTTCGGCGTGCTGAAGATGCCGCAAGCGCCGAGCATTTAATTGAACAAAAGTTGACGAGTGGAGCTGAAGGAGACCAGAGCGAGATTTCTGGAGGTGTCAAGGGGAGAGCAAGGAGAAGAGAGCGACGGTGGTGGAACGAGGAGGAGGACGGTGGAGTCTCGCGGCGGGTGACTCGGGTATGCTGGTTGGTGGCGAGGTCGCGACCTTACGAAAGTGAGCGAGAGGAAGCCATGAACTCTGCGGAGCAGACGGTGACATGGCTTATCACGCTGGGTGTGCTGCACTCGCCCAAGAAGCGCGTGTCCGACCCGGGCGCCTTCCTGCAGCGCTCCCTGCGCGATGGGCTCGTGCTGTGCCGCCTTCTGGATCGCCTGCTGCCCGGCTCGCTGGAGACAGCCAAGGTAGGGGAGCACGCACCTGGCTCAGTGTGGCTATGTCGAATTTGCTAAGCCGGCAACAGTGTTAGAACAGCTCTCTCCTGAGAGGATTACTCGCGGTGAAAATCAATTACCGGTACTCCTTTTTCCAACATATCCGAGCCACTCGTGCGCAGTACCTGCTGGTGTTTTTTTATTGGCTATTTGCAAAGCCGAGCCAGAACCAAACTGTAATATGCAGGCCTCACAATACTCTTGAACCTCACTCGGGCCCAAGCAAGGCCTGGGCAGGGGTTAATATATGTTTCATTTGCATCGTCTCCATGCTTCTCAACTCATTTATTCTGTGTGTGACATCAGCGGCACAGCTCGGGTTGTGGAATGGAAAATAACTGCAATGGAGTTGGAACTTTTGGGAAAAAAGGGAAAATAATAATCAAAGTATAAACACACACACAGGCATGTGGGAAACTCGGGAAAGGGCATCAAGCTGGCACCACTGAGATGCATGACATTAATACGGGTTTTGGCAACCTGTGCTTAAACTGGATTCGTAAGTGTAATGAGTTGATGGTTTCAGTCCCATCTCTAACGACAAAAATTACCTGACCACCTAATATACTATAAATAAAAAACCTGTGCAAGAAAATAATAATTTATTAACTTGGCTTGTGAGAAACACAACTCCCGATTCTAGTAAATCACATGTGACTAAAATCTTGGAGCTGGCTCAGACTTCAAATATACATTATGAATTCCCTCCATCACCCATTCAATGTGAATGTTTACTCCGCATATCACATTGTATCAGAGCCTTTAACTCAATTTTGGGTCAAAATGTTCCACTTTATTAAAAAAACCTATCTGGTTTGTTGTGCCAGGACTAGTTCAATGCAGTTTTTTTCCCGAGTATGGAAATTATGTCCTGGTTTTACTTTTCGATGTTATCTTTACAACTTCATGCTGCCTTGCAAATGAAATATAAAAATGTGGGCCAACCAGAAAGTGGATGGGGGTGGTGTGAGGAATGCAGTTTGACTACTAAGCTGCCCAAAGCACTTTCCACTCTCACGCACAGAAAAATGGAATATAAAAGTGGCTGGCCCTCTCAGATGTTCAAGCGAGGCCTTGAACCTGCACAGCAGCGGAGGTTCTCGGTTCAAGCTCTTGGGGATGTGTTTCTCGCAGTCTGTTCATATTGGCCGTGTCAGGGGTGGGTGTAAACATCACTTGGTGAGATTACACTCGAGGTTGTACTCTCATAACGCCAGTCCACACCATAGGAATGTGGATTTTCCAGGGAGGAAAACTAACTTCAACAGGCAGTATAGACATTGTGTGTTTCCATTAAATGTGGCAGCATTCGCTGAGTCGCCTCGGAGCAGTGTCCATCCACCGGCAGCCATCCCTGGGGTCCATCCTGGCAAAGCTCCCTATAAGCGGTGACTTCCCCACAAAGTGGGGACATTCGCAGCTCTGATTAGCATGGCTGGCTACATCCGGTGCGACAGAATTTCAACATACAAAGTGAACTGATGGGCCGAATCAACCCTCAACCGGGGTTTGAACTCTGCACCTTCCGATTGTGAGCCCTCACTCTTTAGCTACATGGCCGCTGTAATAACAACCTTGTAACAGTTGCCTTGAGTCTAAACAAATACTCTGGCGATGCTACTTCGGCAGTGGTGCACAAGCACACACTCTAAACACTTGTCAATAATAACACTCCACGGGCTTCAAAGGTAAAATATATAATTGGCTCCGTTTCGGGCAATGGTGCTTTTTCATAGCACATACAACAAATGAAGAAGGGCTGTTGCCTAAAACGTCGCCTATTATGGATTATATATTGTCCTTTTCAGACCACAGCGTCATTAATGAATGTGTTGAGCTTGTTGTTGTCGAGTTCGTGGAAGAGACCGTGCATGTGTGCACTGCACACGCAGGGTGGCCGATGCCATTTGATGGCAGCACCGATCCTACGATCTTCTTCTGTGCGATGAGTTTACAACTCGTGCACAGGACAAGGTGGCGCTGGCCTCGACGACACAAGGGGGTGGGTGGGTGGGTGGGGATGTTCACAGCAGCACCCAGTGGCGGCCACGAGCGAGGAAATAAATACATAACTAGCACCGCGTGGGGACGTCCCAGGCAGGACCCGCCTCCTTGGCAGTCAACATTCCCCTGGGTGGTGCTGCTATTGTTGTTGTTGTTGCTGCGTCGGCAGTGGTGCACAACAACACCAACAACAACAATGCAATCCGTGTCAATAACACTGCTGCCTCAAGCGGAAAGACGTGTCAGGTTGTGTGGTGATTGACGCTTCAGGCAATGATTTGGCATAAATGGAACCTTTGATGTATTCTGAAGAAAGGCCATTGCCCGAAACGTCGCCCATCATATGTTTATCGGACGAAGACCACGGTGTTGACACGTTGCGTGTTGACACGTTGCGTGTTGAGTGCGGTGGGGGGGGGTGACGCAGCTGCGCAAGCGCCGCCCCCTCGAGAGGAAAATAAATAAATAACGCGTCAGGATGGCGCCACCCCCATTCAGTCCGCATCTCTCGGCGTCATCACGCTAGTGCGTGACGTCATCACGCTAGTGCCTGACGTCATCGCGCATGCGAATGGGGCGCGGTTCCCACGGGGGAACCCGGCGTGCGTGATGACGTCACTCACCGAAGGCCACGCCCCGTCTCCGGGTTAAAGTTCGCGCCTTCCTCCTGCCATATACAGTCGGCAGATGGCCGAGGTTTGAATTGGGACGAGTCGCGGCTGTGACTGCGGCTGTTCCCATTAACATTTTGTAATTTATAATCAACTTCATTATTTATATTTGCGCTTGTGACGCAGGTGTTTCAGGAGCCCAAGGCGGAGGCTGAATGCGTGAGCAACATTCGCGAGTTCCTCAAGGGGGTTTCTCATCTGCGGCTCGAGGTGAGATGGTTTCGTCTCATTCGCGACTCATCAGCAGCAGCAGCCTTGGTCTATCCACTGCTGGATAAAGGACCGCCCTTCCCTAAGCTGCCGACATCCCCCACGATGCTGCGATGTAACCATCCACCCGGCGCAGGGACACGAGCCTATTCCTTCTCTCTGCCGTTAATACTCTTTATGATGATGGTCACATTATTTTTTATGATTTCGTGAATTGACTTGTGGATACTAACACTATTATTAGCATTGAGAATTAACACGGAACCCTAATATTCCCAGAGATGCCTGAACCGGTGGCTTATTTTAGATACACTATACAGTACAGGATATGCATCGACATTAACACTGAACCCTGGTGATCGCAGAGGTGCCTTAATCTGGAGCAGTGAGCATCGTGCATCAACAGGGAACCCTGCGAATCACTCCATTATCTCCCCTACCGCTCCTTACCCCATGCCGAGTTTTCAATGTTTCTCTGAATGAAAAAATCCATTGGCCAGTACTGTATAGTGTGTGCTGGCGGGAAAGTTTACGAGTGATAGTAAACACTTGACACAACGTGATTTCTAGACAGAACAATGCACCATTGTGACGATTGGGTCGGTTCTCCCATCGTGCCTTGAATGTCACGTGGCTGTGAACGGCCTCGCAGGAGCGCGGTTTCAGTCCGTTGTAGAGGGTCGCGGTTCGTGTTCTGCAGACCGCCGCCCTGTTTAATGCTGCGACTGTATTACCCTCAAAACACACAGTCTGCATCACGGTGGACGGTAAATGTCTCGTTATATTCTAAACAAGGCAATTGAGTGCCGGCATCATCGTCCACATTTTCCAAATTCGAATGATATGAAAATTACTCAAATAGTCACGTAGGTAAAAAATAAAATATAAAAATTGAAATAAAAAATAAATGAAAGTAAATTAAATCACGACGTTTCGATTGCAACACAAGCAATCATCATCAGGTGTGAAAATCACAGCTAGAATTTTTTTACTTAAACATTTCTAGCTGTGATTTTCTAGCTGATCTCGCCAATGAACATAAACAATAATGCGGGTTCCGGTCATCCCTCACAGCAGGAGCTTTTGGCGAAGACGGCCACTGCATCGTGCGCTTTTAGATGCGCTTCTGCGGCCATCTAGAACGCTCTTCCGATTATAGGAAGCCACTGGATCTAGGCACTTTTGCATTTAAATTGAAAACTAATTTTATTTAGAACTGCTTTTTGTGATTAGTTTTCTGTTTAGTTAGATTAGCATGGTTGGCTACGTAAGGTGCGAAAGAAGTTCAACATACATACAGCCATGTTTAGACCATAAGTTCAGTAGAGTTAAGATTGTGACTACATTATTTTAGAGCAGCAGCAGGACAATGTGATAACTGTAGTGTAACTTGTCGGCCTTGGTCAAGCAGGGAGTTTGAGTTTAATATTTAATTAGAAAGCACTAATTAAACAATATAAAGCGAGCATTGTGACCACAGATGCTGAATTGGTAGATAAGGTAAGTTAAACACAATCTATATATATAAAATCGCAAATCTGTCTGTCTGTCTGTGTGTCGCCGGACCATACGCAGTTTCATTGGACGGCGGTTGCCCCTGGCAACGGGTAGCGACGCATTCGCTGCGGGGTGGACGCCATTTTTAATTCCCGTTAAAAATATGCGCTCGCATTAACACGCGACTCTGAGGTAAATTCATCAAAGTTTCACGTCCCCTTCACTCCCCCCCCACCCCAATGTGTGCAATTACTATTATAGGGTCGGTAGATAATAAAATTATAGCGATTAGACAGTATTATTGTAGCGCGGGGGGGGGGGGTTAACGGCCCCAGTACCCAGCCTCAGCCGGGTGGGCAATTTAGGCGAGGCCGGAGGCTCTGCACGGTACTAGGCCTCGACACCCCACCACCGTACATATTACTGCACAGCGGCCGAGGAGATCCTGGCTGGGGGGGGGGCAGGGGTAGCAGCCCATCTGTGTATATATGTAAGGTTTTTAAGAAATATATTTTTCACCCGGGCAAAGCCGGGTACTTCCGCTAGTGAACTACTAAAGTACATCATGAAGATTTACTCTCTCCCCCCTTGCCACCCCCGTTCTTGCCTATATGACCTCTTGCCACGGCAGCTCTCTCGCCCACTGCAGCAGTTTTCTTGCTGTGGTTGTCTCACCTGACGAAGATTGCTTGTGTTGCGATCGAAACGTCGTGATTTGTTTTATTTTATTTCTACCTACGTGACTTTGCCGAAAGAACTAAATAGTAAAGAGCAGGAAGTAAAATATAACAATGCACTTGTACAAGCTGGAATTTGGAGCCTGGGTAAGCACTAAGCAAACAGTGTGTCGTTTTGAATGTATGGCACAGTTAAGCATGTCTGTCGTTATGAATGCCTACACCGAGTCAGAAAAGGATATTGTCAATGTGTGGAATTGTTACGACGGATCAACAGTATGGCTTCCAGCATGGGTATAAGGAGCTTGATTGCTGATAGGACACTGGATGTTGAAGCCGATCCAGAGTTTGCTTGCATTAACCGAATGCTGCTCAAACCAATTAAATATATGCACTCCCAGAAGGCTGTGCGGCTGATGAGCATTGACGACAATAAGTATTAATTGGTGCTCAGCTCCTGTGTACTGCCCTCAGCCAGTGATGGACATTCCACTTACCTATAGCGAAGGCAAGGTTATCTAGACAACAACTAGTGCTAACTTCCCAACAAAGTGACCCCAGAGGGATGAAGTGTTGAGTCAACTATGAATTGAACTTGCAACCTTTCGATTACAAGTTCAGGATTGCTGAGCCACCTGGTGCAATGTGGGGGGGGGGGGGGGGGGGGGGGTAATGAGATGTGTAAAAACACAATTTTACGTGAGAGACATTTGGAAAGAAGGTACATTGTATTCACATTTATTTTGCCTTGGTAGTGTAATGTATAGGGGAGGTGGAAGGGGGTGTTTGTTTGCTTATTTATGTGGCATGGGACTTGTGTCAAATGAGTTTCCTTCCTGTCATGGCTGTGTGTAGAGGCCATTGTATGGAGGTGATGTTGCACCAATTCCCAACACAGGGCCAAGAGAGATCGTTCCCTTCCTTTGCCCTTGTTGTGCCTCTATGCTGTGCTGTCTGTTGAGATGCGTTGGTGTGTACGTGTGCGCAGTGGATGTGTGTTTTGTCACCTCGCGTGGCACACAAGCTGTGGTCATGTCACCATCACTTAGTGGAGAGTAGTGGCTGTTATTGTGTTTGGGTGTGTTCATTGTGGGGATTGGTAGTGTAGCGTTTAGCGCGCTGCGCTACCAACCTGGTGACCCAGGTTCGATTCCCTCTCACGGCTAACACCAGTGACAATTATCTGAACCAGTCCTGGGTCTCCCCTAGGTTGACTCGGCCTCAAGTGAGTACCTGGTGAGACAATGGCGGCCGGGCATGGTGCTAGCCACCCACCCCTTTGTGTGTTGTGGCTGCCTTCATAAGTGCTCTCTAACAGCACTTGCCCCAACAGTTTCTTACAGGCTATATGGGGGATCTTTGTCTTTATGTTAATTTCATGGCCTATTGTACCATCAATAGGCCAGGGTTCTGGGTTATTCTTGCAACAATTCATTGAGTAAAGAGGGGGGTGAATGTAATGAAGGTGTACATTTGTGCGTGTGTGTATACGGGTGTGTTTGCTCGTCGCTATGTGTATGTGAGTGAGTACGCATGTGCTTGTATTTGAACGTATGTCTGTTTCCTGCAGCTCTTCGAGCCCCATGACTTGTACAAGGGACAAAACTTTGACTGCGTTCTCAACACGCTGGTCGCACTGAATAAGGCCACAGCTGGTAAGCACGGCACACACACACACTCCCCTACACCAGGGTTCTTCACCTGGCGACCCGCGGTTCAGATGTAGCCCTTGGAGTGATAAATAAATATGGCTCACCAAGACCTAGAGAGATAAAAATTTGAGTGAGATGAAAGAGAGATAAGCCAGAGATAGTTACAGAGAGCTGTAGAGAAGAGATACAGTCTAGTGGCCATGTAGACATTATGCATTCGTTATGCCACATGACGTCTTAAAGTATAAAACCACATTTCCCGCCAGCACTTGCTAATTGTTTTGTGTGACCCACTGGAAAATACAGTTAAAAAACAATGCCCTAAACTGAAGCTTCATCAGTGTCAGTGGACATTCACTCAGTCTCAAACTTGATGACATGTTAGATGTTGTGTTGCTGGTCGGGCCACTTTGGCAATTATTTTTCGTTCTCCGCAATTGATGGTTGATGAATAGCCTGCAATCTCCACTCTATTTTCCATGTCCAAAAACACGTAATTACACACTGTTCAGGTATTCACTCCAGTACCTATTGCTTTGTGACTCGCAGATGCCAGGGAGGTGGCAGTGATCTCCGGGCTGTAATTTTAAATAAACATCTGTCAAAAAATAAAATGTAACATGATCATGATAATAATTGGGCTGTGTGCCACTGTAATCGGAGAACTTTACTCGCAATGACAAGTTCATGAGTTCGTAATCACAAGGGCAGTGATCAAGTTGCGACTCGAAATCGTCATCATAATCTTTCCATTGGTGATGAAATGAGCACTGTTTTGTGTGAAGTTCGCGGTGATTGTCCTCTTTATACTCATCCCTGCCATAGGTATGTGGAATTTCACAGAGCTGGTCCAATCCTGCCAAAATGTGCTATAACCCATCCAAAATAGAAGGTACAGTTGAAAGTCTTAAATAAAATACAAAGTAAGATAATAAAAAAGTCCGCAACTAAACTTTAAAGCAAAAGGAGGCATCAAATCCTTTAAGGGAAATTAACAATGAAACCTGTCTGTACAAAGTAAAGTTGTTCTGTAAGTTGGCCGAATGAGATCTCGTCTCATTCATAAAAAAAATGTTGGGTAAAAACTCGCCCCCACGAAAGAGGGCATAACAAGGAAAAAATTAGTCTTGCAGAGTTTCCTGAGCTATTTGTTGCTTGGAGCCAATCTGAGGGCCGGTAGAAGAGAATTCCACATCTTAGGTGCCACACTTGAGAAGGCCCCTACCTGCTACTGCCCAGCGTAGAATGAAAAAGTCTATGCTGAGCTAGGAGGGCCTGGCCTGAGGGCGTACTCCATTAATTAATAGAGGCTCAAGCTCCCCCTGACCCATCCTCAGTCGACTCTCTGACCCTACAATCATCAGCTCCGTCTTGTCAGGATTCAGCCTTAGCCAGTTCTGCTGCATCCATACAGCTACCTCTTCCAGACAGTCTGTTAAGCCAGCGAGGGTTGCATCTGGGTCACCTGAGAAGGAGATATATATATATGGGAGTCAACGGCATACTGATGGCACTGTAAACCGTGCCTCTGGATGATAGCTCCCAGAGGCCTAACATAGACATTGAATAAAAGGGGAGATAAAACGGACCCCTGAGGGATACCGTAAGGAGAGGGTCCAGCAGGTGACACATGGGAATTCAATCCACTGTAAGGCAGTGCCTCCGATTCCTGCCAGGTGCTGCAGGCACCGTAATAAAACCCCCAATTATATCAAAAGCCGCTGACAGGTCCAACATAACAAGGGCTGAAATACAGCCCCTGTCCATCGCCATGAGGAGATCGTCTGCCACGCAAACCAAGGTGGACTTAGTTCCATGATGGGCCCTGAAGACTGATTGAGTGATGTCAAAGAAGCACTTGGCCTCAAGATACGACTCCAACTGGGAAAAGGCCACCCTTTCTATAATCTTCCCTATAAAGGGAGATCGGGTGATAGTTAGCCAGGATATCGACATCCAGTACCGTTTTATTTAGAAGTGGTCGCACTAAAGCCATTTTCAGGGGTTCCGGAAACAATCCTTCTGAAAGGGAAGAGTTTACCAATTCGGTCACCATTGGGATCACTGGCTCAAAGGCCACCTTAAGAAGCCAGAAGGAACAGGCATCTAAATCAGAGGTGGTCCATTTCATCCCCGTAGTAGTCTGGATGAGGTCTGCAGGCAGGACTGGTAAAAGTGCCTCAAAGACGAGAGGAGCCCTTGAGTCCAAGCAAAGATCGGGACTAATTGCTGGGCAGACACCCTCTCTAATGCGATTGATCTTATTAGAACATAACTGATGGAAATATTTGCAGTGCTCTTCAGAAGGGAGCAACCTTTATGGACGTACAGTCTGAGTGAATAAAACTGTTTACCATCCTGAACAGCTCAGAAAGGTGGTTCCTTGCTGAGTCAAGTATCATGGCGACGTACTTTTTCTTCGCTATGAAGATAGTTCGTGTGTAAACCCATTGACAAACTCGTAGAGCTGTTCGATCATCATCGAGCTGAGATTTGTGCCAGCATCATTCCATTTTCCTAGGTTGTACTTATAGGGCCCTGAGGTCTCTGGAATAACAGGGGGTGCTCGTGGTAACTTAAGCATGAAGACGGCGGCTAGGAGCATGGTCATCGATAGCAGATCGGAGCACTAAATTGGACAGTGGTACCACTGTCACAGTAAGAGGAAATATGGCCGATAAGGCATCATGAAATCCAGAAGTGGTCATTAGCCTTTTGGGCCGAACCAAGCATCCCTGAAGTTCCCCAGACCGTCGGAGAGGAGTGGGAGACCCTTGATCTCAGCATGAATCGCCCTGTAATCAGTCCATAGTGCAGACGAAAATTTAATGGCCCCTACTGAGACCCCCTGGGTGAATACTAGGTCGATCGTGTGACCATGATCATGGGTTTGGGCCCTGAATAAACTGAGTAAATCCCATGGAACCCATGGTATCCAAAAAGTCTCTAACCAAACTGTCAGATGGGTCATCCATCCATGCATTGAAATCTCCCAGCACAATTGCACGATGAAATTCCAGGAACAAGGGAGAAATCACCTAGGACAGCTGAGACATACAATCAAGGGTGACATACAGGCCCTGATTCTCATTCAGGGAACAATGCACGGTCATGTATTCAAATGACCCAACTTTGGGACCAGGGCACATGGCACAGATGAGACCAGCCTGAAAGATCACCGCCACCCTGCCACCTTTCTTTTTACCTGGTCTGGGAATATGCAATATTGAATACCCATCTGGGACTGAATCGGCTAAAGGTTGGTCGACTCCAGGTCGAAGCCACTAATAAAAGCTAGGTGGGAACAGCCCAAAGCAATCGTGTCACATACTTAAAGGGCCCATTGCACGACCGACCTGGCATTCATAAGGATAAACTTCAGTACAGGCTCCTTACCACTGATACCTCTTTTTCGCAGCTCAGGGGAAATTTTTGATTGGTATATTTATTATAACCCGAGGCCGATGGGGTAGGTCATCTGGGAATCTGGATCCGAGGATCTAAAGCGGACGTGAGACAACCGAGATCTTATGAGTAGACAATAATTTGGAACCATCAATCCTCACTGGCTCCCAGATTCTAACCTCCCTACAGGCCTCCTCCGTCCACCAGTCCATCCGAAATTCGTCAGGAGAAAAGGCACGGAGGCTCCTAAGGACTTGAACTGAGTAGTTCATAATTGGTGATGACGAGCTTAGACAAGACTAGCTGGTTGTAGAGCACAGCAAGCTGATCATAGGCCAAGACGGGCAGGTGTGATGGTAGGACAATCAGAACGTGATTAATACTGAAGCACCAATCAAGAGAAGAGATGAACTGGGTTTGACTCAAGGTACAGCTTAGGCAGATCCAGGGAGCAGCAGCTCGGGCAGAACCTGGGAGCCGCAACTCGGGCAGATTCAGGGAGCAGCAGCTCTGGCAGAACCAGAGAACCACAGCAAGTGGAACAGGAGCGGCAACAAGCCTGCAAGCGCCTCTCCTCACCCATCCACTGACCCAATAGTCTGAATAACAAGCGCATCAGTTTAACACGTAGGCTTCAATCACTTCAGTCAAAAATATTGACTTGTTTTGGACAATTGCCCTTAGTCCTAGCACACAGATTGAACCCCTGCCAACTGGAAGACTTTGCTGTTTTTTTCTGGATTTGTCTGTTGCGTGTAGTCACTTTAAGATGTGTCTTGTTCACGTTTTTGTTTGTTGCGGTTGCTCCCGAGTCAATAGCCGCATGGCTCACAGGGTTATACCTAATACATGAAACTGAATCTGAAAACCAATAAATGGTTTATTCACAATGAGTTTGGTCTAAGTAAGTGTGCCTGATTGTAGCACTGTGGTTTCATAAGTGATTTTATACAAAGCACATTTCTCTCGACAACAGCACGTGCAGTGTGCCACTAAATGATTATTTCTTAGAGCGCACTGTTCACTTCAGGTTCTCAGGCACTCCACGTTTTAATTAAATGTGGCGCCGGACCCTCGCGAGTGGTGCTTCTGTCTCTGCTGAATTGGAACACAAAGGGAAACGTGAGAATGTAATTTGTTTTCTCAAAAATTTTATGAAAGAGCGCTCCATGCCTGGAAGGAGTCGGGGCAAGATTATTTATCCGTGTCATCAAATGATATCAAATCTTTTTTATTTGCTCACGAGAGTCTCAAGACTTTCAGAAGGATGCTGCTACATGGGATGCTGGGCCAATTTCGTTTGAAATCAATGGAGCGACTTGACCCTGAGTTGAACCACGCTGGAGGTCATTCTAGAGCCGAGCCCTGACAAAGCATTACAGCCCTCGGACACTCGGCTTTTGGCAGCAGCCACTCCCCGCCCTTTGCCCCCCCCCCCCAAGTGAGCAGTCGGGTGCTTGTGAACACATCAATCTGAGTGCTACACTTCCGTCCATCCACAAGAGGGCGAGATCACCTTGTAGCCACGGAAAGACTCGTTAAGATCAAGCCCTACTCTCCTCACAGCTGCACTGAATCACGCTTGTGAGCATCGATTTTGTTTATGCGGCAGGGCAGCGCCAGTAGTAACACTCATGACTCACAGCAAGGAGGGCCCTCGGTTTGATTCCCGACTCGGACGCCCTTCTGTTGAGTTTGTTCTCCACATGGTATGAATGGGTTTCTTCCAGGTTGTACCGTTTCCTGTCATAGCTAAAATAACCATACAATGTAACTGGTATTGGCCAAACATCCCAATGCGGAAACATTACCTGCAAATTACTTAATTGGGATAGCACAGCAGCATCATCACCTACAGCGAAAATTTGGCGGGATCCTCCTGAAAAAGAGTCTTGAGACTCAGTGGGGCCTTCCTGGGTGAACATGTATAATAACAATAATGATGATTCATACAAATTGCATTTGATAATGTTACATTTAGGCCTACAGAGTGAACCAAAGTGTTTAAATTAGACAAAATGGAAACGATATGAGATGATATAAACGAGACGAAATAAACAATTCTTGAATGAAATCGTTTTAATCTGACAGCTCTTTTGTCAATACACTGCAGGATAATGGCCTCCCCATGCCGTGCGGGTTGTTGGGGTTAGTTTACCGCACTTCACTACGTTGGTCAATCCCGTTTGGTTAATCCAACGAGCATGGAGATAGAGTTCAACAATGGATTTTACTGCACTGCCCTCTGCTGCCCGCAATGAAGCCCTTTCACGGACTATAGCTTTTTATGCACGGTGATCAGCAATTCTAGCACTTTCCAGGCTCAAACCTGCTTAGCGTTCAAGATTTGATGAGATCGGGCACATATATGGTGATTTGGTAATGGGCTTGTGAATTGAGTTGTGATCCCTGTATTGTGACAATTCGTCCGATCGCTTGGAGTGTGGTGAACGATTACTTTGCCTAATAATTAACATAGTTACAGTGACCCAGGTCCCCTTAGCAAGGCAGCTAATGGGTCCCACCGACTTATGAATGGGTTCCGTTCCTGAGACCCTTTCGTGAGTCGAAGACAACAATGTACTCCATTTAAATCCACATACTGTCAATGTTGTAAAATGTTGTTACGGTTCAACAAAAAAGGAAGCATTTTTAAACTCATGAATAAGAAAAAATATTGTACATTTGTATGTCACACTAGTTTCACGGTTCAGTTCACAAGTGCGAGTTCACGTTCGCAAGTCAGATGTTTAAAAAATATATATCTTATGGAGCTTGTTCGTAAGTGCGAATGTTTGTAAGTCGGTACTGCCTGTACTTGGGAAAAAACGGTAATAAACCGGTTACTGGTTTGCCACACGAATAGAAATGTCTCGAGCAAAAGTGACGTTTTTACTTTTAAACAGAACGCATCTGCCACTGATGTAGTGGGCTGCACACTCGGCTTGCACTTCAGAGGTCACCAGTTCAATTCCATCTCCCGGCTCGGCAGTCCACTCAGCCATATAAATGAGTACACCACAGTTAAGTCGATCAACAGGTTATGTGTGTTTGGGGCAGAGTGTGGGTATGCCCACCTCTTCTAATGGAGACATCTGTACAGCGTAGAACAGGAGAACAAATAGGCTCTGGAGCTGTCTAGTGGAGGCCCATCCGCCAGCAGTGGCGTGAGCGAGCAATGGCAGGGCTGAGCCTTTACTCTCTATTTACCCTTTTATTGCAATGCTTAGGCCTGCCACCATGCAGTTATTACTTTCGCGTGTGCCGATCAGTGAAATCATTAATGCAATTCCACGAGAATCGATTTCAAGTTCCTATCTTTCGGCACCAGTAATCAATTCTGAAAACACTTAAGTGTTTATCATCCATAATAGGTTTTTTTGGGTGAGATCGTGTAAATATATAAATGTGTCACGTAAACAGAACGTGGCCAATTCGTCACGAGTACAGCACTAACCTGTGTTTTCGAGAGCCAAGCCACAACATTTACAATCTGAGTACTGTGACGTTTCGCCAGTAATTACAACCAGCTTCATCAGGCGACAGCCCGATTTGTGGAGAAGTCCACCTGTTTCGTTCCTTATATAGAGGCGTAGATGTGATGACCACACTTCTGTGCTCTTGCGCAAAGTAGGTGGGGGGGAATAATGTGTTTATCAGTTATCATTTAACAACCCAAGTTTAACAACCCAAGTTTATTGCAATAATTTGTCACTGTTTAAACACGCCTGGGAGTAGTGGTGGCCGATTGCCACCCAGAGATTAATCACCCTAACCTCCGATTAGCACGGTTGACTACTGACGGTGCAAAAGAAGTTCAGCATGCATACGTCAGATTGGTAGATTGTGTAGAGGTCATGCGTGCAAGACACCCACCTGTGAGTTTGTAGGACAGCAAATAGTTTGCTGTCCTGTCTCGTGCAGATGAAGAGCTATCCCCTTAATTTGCGTGGGTTTTCTTCTTGCACGTCAGTCTCCTCCCATATGCAAACCACTGACAAAGCAAATGGCTTATCATCCCAGGCAACACCCTCCTGGAAGGAGGTTTCTTTGCAGAGAGAATCTGCATTTTTCGATCAGTGTAATCCCCTCTCGTCCTGAGATCTCACAGACAGTGACTGAATGGGAAAACCAATTTCCTGTGGCTTCCCATCCTACCTGTGCATACCTTTGTGTGCGTGGGCGTGTACACACGCCCTCTCACAGGAATCCGCTATCACCCTACCCGCCCACCGCCCATTTGCCCGCTGCTGCCGCCGTAAAAAAAAAGGTGTGGCGGTTCTGTGATTGATTGAGCGGAACCTTGCTCGCCCACCCGCTTGCTCGCTCGCCCGCCCGCTCACCCGCCATTTAGCCTAGGGTGCTGGGCGACGGGGTTCATTATGGACGGAACTTCCAAGAGGCGCAGGAGCAAGTCGCGCAGGAAGTCGCGCAACTCGCGAGGTACCTGGATGGGGGTCGAGACAGTCGCGGCCCCAGAAACACCATGGTGGTGGTGGTGGTGGCGGTGGTGGCGGTGGTCATGGTGGCGGTGGTGATCTTTGGACCTGGCTTTGAACAAAGGGAGGTGTGACCAGTGTATGTGTTAGTTCGAGTGTTTTTAAGGTGTGTATGTACACGTCGACCCCGAAGGGTTCAAATCGGCAAGAACCCTACTGAAGAACTTTGGGGGAACAAAACTTTACACTGAGGAAGACAGAGAAACGCAAGAAACCGAGGCACAGAAATATTGAACTGTCAGACAGCAGGAAATGGCGAGTGCACTTGTGAAGATAAAAGGGGAGATTACGAATTGAGTTCGCGTAGCATAAATAGCCTCATGTCCACCACTAAGTGAACACTCCCCACCGCTCTCCCCTCGTAAATCAAATTATTTCCTGCATTTTTCTCAAAGGCTGTGAGTGCAGACAGAACTCGTGTGGAGCTGCCCTTCACATTTACACTACGAGCCATCGGCAGCAGCTGCCGATGCCCTACAGTAAATAGGTGTTGTTTACAACGGGTAAACGGCAACGTGAAAACTCTTGCATGGCTGTGACAGACACTCAGCATTGTGAAATACTGACTCTCAAGGGTAATAATCCGTGAGACTCGTACGTGGTTTAGGGTTAGGGAGTGTGTGTGAGAGGGTGTGAGGAGCGGTGCAACGGTTAGCGCGCTGTGCTACAAACTTGGCGACCCGAGTTCGATTTCTTCTCACGGCCAACATCGGTGAAGATTATCTGAACCGGTTCTGGCCCTTCCCTAGGTCGACTCGGCCTCAAATGAGTACCTGGTACGGTGTGTAAACATCGCCACTGGGGTGACAAATACGGGCGGGCATGGTGCTGTCCACCCACCTCCTCGTGTGCCGTGCCAGCCTTCATAGGTGCTCGCTAAAAACACATCCACCAACAGTCTGTTAAGGCTATACTGGGGATCTGTGTCGTTGTGTCCGTGTGTGAGCAGACATCGAGGTGAGCGGAGAGCCAGGCGGCACTCGCCGCTCCACTCACCGCAACAAATCCGTGGACTCTGCCTCGGTCCCCCGCTCCTCCAGCACCACGAGCCGCCCCCCACAGCGCCAGTCCAAGAGCCTGGTGAGCAGCGCGGTGAGCCAGGCAACGGGGTGATGGGAGGGGAAGCGTGGTGAGGAAGTTGAGAGTGATGGCTGCGGTGAGTGGAATGTGGAGGGGGGAGCGTGCTGAGATGATGGTGAGGGAAGAGTGGTGAGATGGAGTGTGGTGATTGGAGTGCTGAGATGGGATGGAGAGTTGTGAGGACATGGAGTGTAGCTTGGGGGGGGGAGCAGTCAGGGGAGTGGTGAGGAAGGGAGTGTGAAGGAGGAGGGAGTGTGGTGAGAGTCAGTGTCTGTGGGTCTGAGTCTTTGGCTCTCTGGGATGTTGTCTTCCTCGCCCGGTATGCAGGAGGTCGGAAGTTCGATTCAGACCCTGAAGCCTGTATATTTAGAGTTTGCACGTTCTCCGAATGGATTTTTTCTCTGGGTCCTCCGGTTTTTCCCTCCACATTGAGAAACATGCATTAAGATTATTTATATAATGTTGGTGTAATAAATGTCCAAATGGTGGTATACTTTGTTGAGCTATCATTTGTGGCCAGGTCGCTTCAGAAAAATAAGTTAATACCTCACCCTGCTTTGCCTGGCAGGATGGGGATGGTTTATTTTTACGTGTTTGAGTGATTTGTTTACCTGTTTGTTGTTGTAACGTTCTTACCCACCCCTACTGGACATCTGTGAAAAAGAGCTTTATAGTTCATCGGATTCCTCCAGTGGAAATATTCTGATTCTGTTAGTCTGGGTTTCTGTGAGACTATGAATCCTTGTGTGAGTCTGTGGGTCCCTGACTATGAATGTCTGTTTGAGTCGGTACAATATAATGTGGATGTATGTGTAGTGAGTCCAACTGAGTCGCAAACGCTATCTTATGAGCACAAACATAACACAACCTTACGCTCGGGTCTCGAATGGCTATCTCACCACGCTACGGCAGAACTAGACACGGTTCGCTATCCCGGTCCGGACCACAAGCTGGGTCCTGGCCTCCGTGGCTAGAGGCTTCTTCTCTCCGACGTACGTGGATCTTCGTAACACCTCGAGCACACAAAGAACCTCGAGCTCCTCACGGGGCCCTCGTTAGATGCCCCCGGGCTGGGGCTGGCTCCGCCCCTTGTCCCGCCCACCTTCCAGGTCTCTCCAGCTCCTTCTCGAACGTTCCCGAGAGCTCTCCGGGACCACGTGACCGCCCCTCGGCCCCCGTCCACCGGTGGCCCCCCTCCAGTATCGTCCGGTCACGTGACAACAGGTCACAGCCAGAGCGTCATGCCCCAGCATAACCCTGGCTGGCTGACACTCCCTCTCGCTCCCTCACCGGGAGCCGGCACCGCACGCTGCTCGTGGTGCCTCCGCACTAACCAGCGTTCGCCCAACCACCGCTAGAGTTGGTACTGCAGCCCGCAACCCGGGCTGCCCGCAATGACAACATCACCGGCCGTGACTTCGCAAGTCCCGGCACCATACAGTGACAAGTACAGTCACCGCATCTCATGGCACTGCTTACTTATGCAGGCACGTGCGGCTGACTGCGTGCGTGCATCAGATACTAGCCTGTGTGAGTACACCACAGCGTGCGCACACCACGCCGTGCTCCCCCTAGTGTGCGTGTTAGGGGTTGTTCCATCCTCTACACATGTGATGATGAATTGTGACACTTCTGGGTTGTGATTCAATTTCGTATCAATTCTTCTCTTCCCGCTGATTTTGGTTATCTCATTTCAACGCTGTAAATGTAGCTTGGCGGTGGAAGGGGAGTGTCTCGCAATCGGGAGGTTGCGACTTCAAACGCTGGTCGAGAACGTCGAATTATTTCCTACTCAATTGGGAAACACACGGCAATTGTTCCCCCCTTCTGCGATAACGTGGCAGGACTCTCCTGAAAAAGTATTGAGACTCAGTGAGGCTGTCCTGGGTAAATAAGCAGCATAAATTTTAATAATTATTACAAAAAATGATAATATAATTTATTTAAAAATGCATTTTGTTAATCCGGAAAAGCCTCCCTGAGTCTCCATACACTGTCCAGGGAGGTCTAATCAGGTATCTTGTTTTTGTTTCTTCAAAGATGTCTGGCTGGAAGAGTAGGCCAAAGTACCAAGCGGTGGCATGAGCGAGCAGTTGGGTGGCTGTGACCTTACGTTTTAATGTGAAAAAATCTAAAAATTTACAATAGGGGACAGTAGAGAATGAGCCAATGTGATCTAGATGTGTGTGTACCATCAAGCAGAGTTTTAAGGAGCATTCAATTACTAGGTATAAAGGAGCTGTTGAAATATTCAGGCATTTGCGAGGACGGAGGCTTGGGGCCTTGTGCTTATGCCCACTTCCTCATGAGAGGACCAAAGAAATGCGCGGAAGCCAGCGGGAGAGGGTTGTTCCTTAATTGTGAGGAGCTATTTCCATCTCGGCCAGCGTGCATTACAATACGACCTGGCTTTATAGAGTGCCAAGGCCTGCAGCCTGCACCGGCACTCACTCCTGGTGGCATTCCAATCATCATCGTAATTCACATACCCATTTATTACAGCCCTCGCTCAGTCCGCTGCTGGATGAAAGCCTCGCCATGCTGTTTTGGTCACACTTCATCATTCCATTTTGGTCAGTGAGGGTTGGTGAAGGTGGAAGACCCAGGACTGGTTCTGATCTCACTCACCACTTGTGTTAGTTGTGGTCGGGAATACAGCTCGGGTTTCCTAGGTTTTAGCGCAGAGTGCTAACTACTGTGCCATTACTCAATACCAATAGGTCTCGTTCAATGTACACCACTAAGTTAAGCAACATGGCATTGTATCATGGTGATTGGTCTCCTTGTGTGAATGAAGGTGGGTTGTGAGGATGTACTTCGTGTCCTTTTTTATTTCTTCAGTCAGCTGTGTCAGCCAGGGGCCCTGGAAGGTGACACGTACGTATGTATGCATGTTGTGAACTTCTTTCGCACTGTTCGTAGCCAACCGTGCTAATCGGAGACACCACAGAGCCACTTCAGTCACTTAAGTTTGATTTCCACCAAACAATAGAGGCCACTCTTCCATGCCCTGAACATACAGCGTGGGACGCTGAGTATCAGACGTCTGATACACGACTACAATGCAGCCTTCGGAGCTGTGCGACACTGAATCAATCGACAAGTGAATGATGGTTTTGCCACGTGAAGTCATAGGTGACTCGGTTGAGATCATAAACCCGCTACTCGTGAGGAACGAGTGTTACCACGCTTGCCGCTTGTTGCACAGGTTCGCCGCGGTGTGAGTCTAGCGGCCCACCCTGGTCACAATATTGCTTGGTGTAGTCACCATAAATACTCCGCTTCACAGTCAATGTTACACATCCCGTGGTGGTATTCCAAAAAGAGTAGGCCACGTATGTTGGTGTAACGATCCACATTTGGAAAATTACCTGCATATTACTTAATTGGGTAAAACCACATAGCAACATAACCATCCACTGGCAGAATATACTATTTGTAAAACATAGCATGTTCACGATAACATTGTACTGTGAGAATGGCGCAGATATTAAATGTGTTTATTAATTACTCTTAATCATAGAAGGCCAAAACCCAAGTTCATACCCTGCTGGGTCTGTGTCTCCAATAGGGCCACTCTGACCTTCGTGAGCCACCCAGCCACTTACGCCCATTTATTTTGAAGTTTGAGGGCTGGCATGATACGGTCTTGGTGAGATATGTTCATAATCTTGACTTGTAGTTGCTGAGCACACGGAACACACTTCTAACCACTTGCTGCACTTGATAGATTTTCAACGCGAAGCAGTCAGGGTGACTGATAGTCCAGCACTCACTGATGCACTCTAGTTACTCGCTCACTGATGCTCCATTGCCTTCTTATTGATCTTCTATTGCTACTCCCGTGGTAACTGTTCTGATGAACTTCACTCGTTGATTCCCCCTCCCAGTCTACCAAACTGGCTGTTTTGTCTCATCCACAGTGTTCAACCACCACACTGCAGGTCGGAACAAGGCACTCACACGCATGCACTCACCCCCCACACAGCAGGTTACAACAGCACACCCACTCATCCAACTCTTCACTCACTCCCACTTACACACTCACCCCCACACAGCAGGTTACAACAGCACACCCACTCATCCAACTCTTCACTCACTCCCACTTACTCACCCACTCTCCCGCTCACCCCCCACACAGCAGGTGACAGCAGCACACCCACCCACTCACTCGCCCCACTGTAGGCCGCAACACTTCAATTTCTGCTTCTTCCCTTGCACTGGTACACTTGGAAATTCCCTCTCATTGTTTCTCATTCCAAAGTTCTCATAACCTTGCTCAATTCAAGAATTGTGGTAACTCTTTATCTGTTACAACTCTGTTTGTTTCTGGCCCCTTGACATTGTGGGCCTTTCCTCAACAACTGTGTAAGAAATGAATCTGCAAACGCAGGCTGCCGCGGATTTCTCCCCGCCAACAGCGATATCTCAAGATCCTCAAAAAGCCCAACGGCTACTCACCGCCTTCCTCTTCCTGGTAGCCTGGACTGCCGGGCTAGCAGACAGCACGGTGTCTTTTCAACAGTGCTGCTGTCGAAGTTCGAATCCCAGAAACGGCTAAAGTCAGTGGCGAGTGGCATCAAAAGCTATCCTGGACTGACTCTGGGAGCACAGCTTTAGCTCTAAAATGAATGTCGTCAGGAAGTCAAAGTTGTCTCGCACATTCAATACATCCGAACCACTGACAAGTTAGTGCGACTCAAGTCGCTGTCGCAGGAAGTTTGTTCGTGAATTAGCACCGTCTCATTGTCATCGACTGTTGTCGTCTCCAGCGTCGTGACATCTCTTGGGGCTCAGTCAGGGGCTGCCGCATTGGGGATCGCGAGTTTGGGAATTGGCAATCTCGTCAGCTCGGGTCATTGTGAGTAGCAGCGGTCCTGGAAATCGTGGTGGTAGTTCCAGGGATTCTGGTGGTGGCGGTGGTGGTGGGGATTGTGCTGGGTCCGAGCGGTGCGTGGTGGAGATGCTGCGGAGCAGCACTGCGTTCTTCCGGAGGCTGTCAGCCGCACAGAAGCAGGGCCCCACACTGGTAACTACCTGGGGCGCTCGCTGATTCGCGTCGGCAATCGTTTTTATGAATTCCCGGGAGTGAGTGTGAGTGCTACCGAGCCCATCGGCACTCATCGTGTGCACGACTAAGTCGGTGTATCAATATGTGTGTGTATCAGTATGGGGAGCAGCAGTGCGGTTAGTGTGCTGCGCTTTGAATCCGGCGACCGAGTTCGATTGCAGCTCACGGCCAACACCAGTGACTATTATCTGAACCGGTCCTGGGCCTCAGGTTAACTCAGTCTCAAATGAGTACCTGGTGCGGTGTGTAAACATCACCACTGGGAAGACAAAGGAGGCCGGGCGTGGTGCTGGCCACCCACCCCCTCATGTGCCGTGCTGACCTTAAAAGGTGCTTGCTAACAGCACTTGCCCCAACAGTCTGTTTGGATTTACGGGGATCTTTGTCGTCGTAACTGTGTGTGCCTGTGTGTGGAGTGGTAGTGCGGTGCTTGGCACACTATTACGAACCCTGATGTCGATTCCCACTCGCACCCAACATCAGGGGCGAATATCTGAACTGGTGTGAGGCCTTTACAAGGCCGAGTCGGCCTTAAAGGAGGACCTGGTGTGCAAACAGCATCACTTGGGATACAAAGATGGCCGGGCATTGTTCTATTCAGCCATAATAGCACGGTTGGCTGCGTACCTCCGATTAGCACGTTTGACTACGTACAGTATGGACAAAGTGCAACATACATATGGTACGTGTGGCTGTGTGCCGTTTTGCCTTTCTCATCATCATCAGCCATTATCAATCCACTGCTGGATGAAGGCCTTCCAAAGCCGCCACCACCCCTCATGATCCTGTGATGTAATAATCCATCCAGCACCTGAACAGGAGCCAAATTCACAGCTCCATCTCCATGGTGGGTGTCTACCAGAGGTGGGACAAAGTCATTGTTATGCAAGTCCAAGTCGAGTCTGAAGTCATCAAATTCATGACTCGAGTCTGACTCGAGTCCAAGTCACATGACTCGAGTCCACACCTCAGAGGTGGGACAAAGTCATTGTTATGCAAGTCCAAGTCGAGTCTGAAGTCATCAAATTCATGACTCGAGTCTGACTCGAGTCCAAGTCACATGACTCGAGTCCACACCTCTGGTGTCTACTCAGACAGATTCTATGCATTGGCTGCTACTCCGTTGTCATCCTTCCAAGAGACTCTTCCTGCCTTAGCAAGCTTTTATTTATAGTTTTATAGTTTTAGATGATGTCTTTAACCCATGTGTGTTCCTCATTCTGTCTCTCAGTGTAATTCCAACCATGTGGCTGTCCACACTGCTTTATCACTTTAAATGTTTTGCTCTATATTTTTCACGAGTGACTGTGTCCAAGCCTCATGTTCCCGCAGTGAGCGCACACCGATTGTTCTTCTCCAGGCTCATTGCTGCATTACTTGTCGTTATAAACTTGAGTTTTCAGATGATCACTCACCCTAGCCTCATTCGCCTCTTTATTTCAATGGTTTGATTGTCGTCTGCCTACAGTAACCATCCTAGTTGCACATAAAGTTATCAGTTATAACATTACAAAATTGTGAGGAAAAGCATCCAGCTTGCATGAGAGCTAAAGAAGATTATTAATGAGAGCCTTTTGGCAGCAGAGTCTATTGAGGTACAGAGAAATATCGATTTACTCGCTGCCAAATACAGCCATAGTATCTCTCTCCAGGGGAACCAGCATTGCAGATTATTGTTCAAAGGTTTCTACCAGGCTTGGCTGTGAGCTGAGTGTCTTTGAGCTGAGTAATTGTGTGCTGAGTGGCGGTGTGCTGAGTGGCGGCGATCTGAGTGCGGTGTGCTGAGTGGCGGTGTGCTGAGTGATTGGAGTTTGGCTGAGTGGCCGTGTGTTGAGTGGCGGTGTGCTGAGTGGCGGTGTGCTGAGGGCGGTGTGCTGAGTGGCGGTGTGCTGAGTGATGGGAGTTTGGCTGAGTGGCGGTGTGCTGAGTGGCGGTGTGCTGAGTGGCGGCGTGCTGAGTGGCGGTGTGCTGAGTGATGGGAGTTTGGCTGAGTGGCGGCGTGTTGTGGCGGCGTGCTGAGTGGTGGTGTGCTGAGTGTGGTGTGCTGAGTGGCGGTGTGCTGAGTGATGGGAGTTTGGCAGAGTGGCGGTGTGCTGAGTGATGGGAGTTTGGCTGAGTGGCGGTGTGCTGAGTGGCGGCGTGTTGAGTGGCGGCGTGCTGAGTGGTGGTGTGCTGAGTGTGGTGTGCTGAGTGGCGGTGTGCTGAGTGATGGGAGTTTGGCTGAGTGGCGGTGTGGCTGAGTGGCGGTTTGCTGAGTGCCGGTGTGCTGAGTGGCGGCGTGCTGAGTGGCTGCTATCGGGTAGGGCTGTGGTTTGAATGACGTCACTTTGTGCGATTGTATTACTATTTGGGCTGAGGCTGTGGGGAGGGGCGGTGCCGGTTTTTGCGTGGAGGAGGAGGGGCAGATGCTTGATGAAGAAGTGGAGATGGAGAGGAAGTGTGCGCAATAAAGAAACTCTTATCTCGCTTGCCACTCACTACCGGCACCTGGGGGCCATGCACAAGGGTGAGTTTGAGTGAGTGAGTGGGTGGTTGAGTGAGTGCATGTTTGAGAATGTGTGCGCGCTTGTATGTGTGTGTGTATATCAGCAGTGCATTGACCGAATGGTTATCGATGTGATACTAATCGCGACACATGCTCTATGAATTGTACGTGCACAGGCAGTTCTTGTACGCATGACACAATGTTTGAAGTTTATATTCGATTTTAATTTACCAATCGTTACCCTGCTCTGTCCCACCTCTCCCCCTCTCCCACCCTCCTCAAACTTCTCTCCGACCCTCCCCGAACCCCCTCTCCCCTCGTCAGGAGATGACAGAGAGCGGGGGAGGCATGGTGGTGCGTGCCAAGTTCACGTTCCAGAGGACCAACGAGGACGAGCTGTCGTTCGAGAAGGGCGACGTGATCACGGTGACGCGCGTTGAGCATGGCGGCTGGTGGGAGGGGGCGTTCAATGGCCACACGGGCTGGTTCCCCAGCAACTACGTGCGCGAGCTCAAGGCCTCCGGTGGGCAGCCCAGCCCCCATCTCCACTCACCTTGTCTCCCTGTGTCTCACTTGTCTCCCTGTCCCTTCACCTGCTTCTATACCTGTCTTCCTGTCACTACATCCTTCTCCCTATCTCTTCACTTGTTGCCCTGTCTCTGTCTCTATGCCTGTCTCTCTCACAGGCCTTGCTCCAAACCATAGCACTTAAACTTAGCCCTAGCCCTAGTCTTCCAGCTCTCTCCCCTGTGTGTGTGTGTTGTGTGCAGTCGTGTGCTCTGAGTGAATGTCACTGCTGTGTGTGTGTGTGCCTTACAGATCGACCCACATCACCAAAGGCTGTGGGCTCAAAGGGTGGAGCCAAACCCCCCGAGAGCCCTCCAGCTGCCAAGGGCTACTATGACGTGGTCAGTGGTGTTTACCAAATTCATACAAACAAGGAAATGATCCCCCATGATCCCTCATTAGCCTAAAGATATTTTATTGTGCAAGTGCTGTACCAGGCCACCGTTGTCTCTCTCGTGATGGTTACACTAAGGCTGAGTCAACCAATGGGATGCCCAGGACTGGTTCAGATACGTCACTGGTATGGGAAAGAAAGCCGCACGCGTCTGTGTGTGTGGGGGTCAACGTGGCAATCTACCAACCTGCCCTCCTTGGCGCTGGATCCCAGGAGTTCGGCCTCGTGCGGCCGCTTACTGTGCGTCCCTCCCTCGCCCTGCATGGCTCATGCAGGTGGTGAAGAACATCGTGGAGACTGAGCAGGAGTACAGCAAGGAGCTGCACTGCCTGCTCGCCACGTTCCTACGACCCCTGCAGGCCAGCGACAAGTACGCACTTGCGCCGCCATCGGGGCAGCGGAATGGCTCGGCGGTAGCGCGTTTTCCGTTTGTGGCAGAGGTTCACGGTTCTAGTCTGGCAGGCCGCCTGGGAAATTACTCCGAGGGTATTAACCGTAAACATGCAGGGGACTGTAAAGATCCCATGACGTCATTCAAAACGAGTCGGCCATTGTGTGCCGACATCGTGATTCGAATTTGCCAAACCCAACCAAATACCCGTAAATTACTCAATTCAGAAACACACAGCAATCATCGCCCCTACTCATGCCCATTGGCAGCGTAAGTGCTGAATCACCTTGTTGTGCCGCACAGGGCTAGCTGGCACCAATGGCAGAGCCAGGATTTTATCAGGTAGCGGGGGCAACCCCTCCAGCAATGAAAACTGATAGAGGAGTTGTTAGTAAGTAATGACTTGCTTTTTATTCGACGCGTGTGCGGCGATGGCACAGCCATCGCTCGAGGGTCGAATTCGAACCGCGTCGTGTGATCGGCATCGCGCTCGCTGAAGGTACCTTCAGGGAAGTCGTGGACTGTATACACGAAACTGCGCACAATTCTGAGTCACTTATAACCGCTTTGCCGTTACTTATTGCCAATTCTGGACTCAGACTATTGTCCTATCATCTCATAGAGTCCCTGGCATGTAATAATATGCTACACAGTGGCAGTGGAGGTCGCAAAATGCCGATTTATTACTAATAAACCCCAATGATCATTGGGGGGGCACCTGCCACCCCACCCCCCCCACTGGCTCTGCCAGTGGCTGGCACTGGGGGATGCTCTTTCAAAATGTGTTGAGATGAGACGAGATGTCACTGACTGCGTGTAAAGATGGCCATTGTGTTATTGGTGATGGTGTCGTTGGAGTTAGTGGTATTGGGAGTGGTGGTATTTTTGATGGTGGTGTTTGTTGATGGTGGTGGTCATGTTGGTTGTAGTAATGGTCTTGGTTATGGTGCTCGTGGTAATGGTGATATTGATTGTGTCGATGGTGACGATGTTGATGGTTACCATGGCGGTGTTGGTGCAGGCTGCCGCCAGCAGACGTGGCGCTGCTGCTGGGGAACTTGGAGGTGATCGCCAGCTTCCAGCAGAGCCTGGTGCACAGCCTGGAGGAGTGCGCCAAGTGAGGCTCACGCACACACAACCCAGCCTGGTGGCTCAGCGGCAGAGAGAGAGCGGCTCGAATTTGCAAGGTTGCGAGTTCATTTCCTGATTGGGGGTTGACTCAGCCCATCCTTCCCCCGCACCTCCGATTAGCATGGTTGGCTACGTACAGTGCGAAAGCAAACATACAATCCTCCTGGGTCGATAAAATGAGTACCACTATTTATAATCAATGCAGTTGTCCTGTGGGTATGCCCGTCCCCACCATAAGAATGTTGAATTTCTATCATTGACTCAGGGCTGTAAACATGACATGAGCACTGTCTCAATGCTCATTTGAGCAGTAAATTGGTTTGATATGACTTATATACACCAGCGTATTGTATTACAAAGACCAAGAACGAATATCCTTAACAGACTCTTGGTACAAGTGAACCTCATGGCGGGACCCCGGGGTCCCATAAGCCCCCGGCTCTCGCATAAACATTATAATGTAAACAAAAACTTTTATCTTTTTCACCAATGGGTTTGAAGGATGGTGACAAGTGTTGTCTTGTTAAACTTTGCCTTCAAAACTGAAAACTACTTCGCTGCAGTACCTCTATTTAAATACACTATCGGAAAAAATGTTTACACCCCTCTGTCAAGCATCGTGTTTATAAGTGTGGATTTGTGAACACACTTTGTGAACAGTACATAAAATAGTACGCGTTATCAATGCGCTGTTCATATTGTAGCGAGCGTTTATACCAATTTTACTCTACAGAGTAGTGGGTCGCCGCTCCTCTTATCCACATTAATAGGAGCAGTATGTGGGGACTATGGCTTAACCGAAAAAAAAAACCTATCTGCACAGATGCATACGGACAAGAGAAGTATTATCAAACAGGAGGAATTAACGGTGCAACGCATGTCATCTGTTAAATATCTGCAGGTAATAGGATTGTCATCGATTGATCCTGGCTGCAGACATTGGTAGGTCACAAATAATAATGAAGATAAGAGAGCAGTTTAACTGTATTATGCAGACCGTGGTGACAGATAAAGGACTTAAGTCGCGTAGGCAGTTTGAGCAGCTTTGGATAAACCTCATGATCCTGCCCGTACCCGAGCATGGAGTGCATTCGCTTGTTCAGCTCTTCTGCGCATTTGTGCTCGCTGCTGCTGCTTGGACACGACACGACAACAGAATGATCCGCGCCAGGTGGGTCGCGGCGTTTATGTGCGCAGTGGGACGGAGTCGGCAAAAATAAATTAACTATTTACGATTTTGACTTCCGTTTATTCGGGACCCCGAGATTCCGCCATGAGGTTCAAGTGCTGTTAGTGAACACTTATGGTACATAAGCGGGTGTTGCGGCAAGTACCACGCCTGGCCGTCTTTGTCTCCCCAATGCTGATGTTTGCACACTGCACCAGGTGCTCATTTAAGGCTGAGCAGACCTAGGGGAGGGCCAGGACCGCTTCACATATCCATCACTGATATTGGTCATGAGTGGGTATCGAATGTCGGTTTCCGAGTTTGTAGCGCAGTGCGCTGAACACTGCACCACCGCTCCCCACGTGCATGCAGACGCATATCGAAATACTCGCTCGACTCACAGCCCCTGCCTCGTGCCCCGTCCCTGCTGCAGGCTGCCAGAGGCGCAGCAGCATGTGGGCTCCTGCTTCATGAGCCTGCGCTCGCAGATGGAGACGCTCTACCTGGAGTACTGCGCCAATCACCCCTGGGCCGTCAAGGTTCTGCAGGACAACAGGTGTGTGTGAGACTCACAATAGTGTTTGGGTTAAGGCCACGTCATGGTCTGACCAGATCTGTGTCATCCGGAACCCTCCACTACCCAACACGGGCAAACAAATGAATTGTCACGTGGTGTACAAGCATTTAACATGTCAATTATTGTTATTTAGGCTCGGTGGTAAATTGCAGAGCAATCATTACAACCTAATAAGTCATCTGTGAATCATTGGCCCATATGAATTATCGTAAAATAAGAATTAATTTATTTGGAAATGCTACATTTTTTGTTAAATCTAATTGATTGTTACTTTCAGATCGTGATCCCTATTTAAGGAAGCTAGGTCGGGTGACATGGTGACTCCTGACTTCCAGTGCTGTTACACTGACTACTTTATAGACCTTCTGGCGATGCTCATTGTACTTTTCAGAGAAACTCTGTGGATATACTTTTTGAATTTGTTAGGATTCTAAATATTACAGGCAAGCTGAAACGATTATGGTTGGCACGTTAAACGCTTGTGTGTGCATGTCGTCAGGCTATAGTCATCATGGTTGTTCCTTGGATAAACTCGCCCCCGCCATAGCGTGGAATTGTTTACACATTGTGTTAGAATGATGACAACAACAACGATGACTACGGTTACGATGGTTACGTCGATGACGATTTTTAGCGATGATGGTGGCCGAGGGCGGTGATGGAGCGGCTGAAGTGGAGACGAAGCCCTCACTCTACACATGCGAGGTGTCAGTGGAGCCCTGCGGGGGTTGTGTGCTGTCGCCTTGAGCCACAGTTGTCTCAGCTGTGCACACGGGGTCTGCGTTTACACAAATGAATACATTAATACACACACAACACAACTGTTACAACTCCCGAGGTGGGGCGTGTTGATGGGAGTTTGGAGGGGGGTTCAAGGGGATTCCCACCTCTGCTGGAAATCAAGCGTCAGTTCACAAAGTGGACACTCGCCTGCTTGCCATGCTTGTAACTGTGAGTAGTGGTTAATACTGGATGATGGTGTGTAGTGTTGTGAGCCACTGGGATTTCGGAGGCATCACGGTGTCCTGCTGCCTGGTTAAGTGAAGTTCAATCCCTACACAGGCTCCCAATTCAATCCCGGATCAAAGTCAAGGATGCATTGGCCCCTGCATTCCTCTTCCCTTTCACTCTCCTAACCTCCACACTCACCTACTTCTCCCTTTCACATCCTCCTCTTCCATGCACCCTCTTATCTCTCCCCTTTACTTCCTCTCCATGCACTCTCTACCTCTCCCATCTCAAATCACTCTTCTCCCCTCAGCACACTATCCTACCTCTGGGATTTTTAAACATATCATTAGGTTAGCAACAATTAGTTTGTACTCTCCAGTTGCCTGCGTGAAATGTGGGCTAATTTTGCCCAAGCCTGGCCAGCTGGTTCAAAAACTGAAGAAACATCTCCCCCGTCATCTCACTCTACTCCCCTCTGTGCACTCTTGAATTTCCTCTGTATGCGACTGAAATCACAATAACCCAGCACTGCTAGTGGCCGTTTAAGGGAAGCAATTTCGCTTTGAAAACAGTTGCATTAAGTTATAAAATTTACTTTAAGTTTAACTTTGATAACCTACGTCATTTCTGCCACTAAGGAACGAATATAATTGCCAGTCGTCGCTAGTCTGGAGTCCCCCTGGCCGCGGTTGGACCCCCGTGGTTTCCCAGCCGTGTGAGTAGGGGCAGATGGAGGCTCGTATTTACAGAGAGGAGGAGTGCTGGGGAAGCCGCCTGTGTTGTTTATTTGGGCTGTGGGCTTCCAGTGTCATCTCGCCAGCTCTCGGTTTCACCGTAGCCGTCCAGACCAGACAGACCGCACGGCGAAACCGCACTGGTGGAGGCGGTGGTGGTGGTAAGCCCACGACTCTCCTCGCCGATGCCACCATCATGGTGCAGCCAGCTGTAGCCAGCTCATGAGTGCCTCGGGTGTACAGGAAAATCTCGTGTGTTGTTTGTTGTATTCTTGTCTGGATTACTGATGAGTATCAGGGGTATGCAATATAGCAAAGCTTAGTTTGCTGGTCTCTGGTTGTGTATCCGGCTGTGGCTACCGTGAGCATCGAGTCACACACAGCCTGTTGTGCAGTTGTCTCGCTGGCTGTGGTTCGCTGGGTCGCTAAGACGTCGGTGTAGTTAAGACGCTGCCAAGTCAGCCGGTTTAGTCGGTGTTGCCGAGGAGTTCTTGTAGTGAGCGCCGAGCCACCCAAAGTTTTCCCATTCCGAGTCGCCCGCCCGGTGGGCACTCCGCAGGATTAGTAGCTGCGTGCACGCCTGCATTTGCCGCTTGAAGCGACCCCCCTCCCCTTGCCAAGTAACGGACAGTACCTCGTTTTATGCTATTGCATTTGCCGTATTGGTGGCCCAGGTCACTCTTGCAAATGAGACTTATTGTGGTATTTTAAGCTCCCACCTGGTTAAATAAAATAAACTTAAACTACATATTGAGACTAAGAGTCAGAATAACCTACTTGGCGGATTATTAGGGTTCATTGTCAATTCATAACATTCACAGAGCCAAACAGAGCCACCTCTAAAATTTAGTCTTAAGTGTTAAGGCTTGAGACAGAGCCAGACCAAAGCTCCTTTAAGATTCTGAATCGGCTGCGTGGTGGAGGAGGAGAAGGCTGCAACATCATGCAGTGTCTGTGTGGGAGGCCTCGTTCGGCGAGCGAGGAAAGCGCAGAGGGGAGACGACGGCCCCCTGCCAGGTGAGAGAGACACGTGGACATTGAGGGACAGGACACAAGGACACAGAACATGTCGAGGAGATGCAGATACAGGCTTAGAGAGACACAGGGACATACAGACAGGAAGGAACACAGAGACTTGGAGACAAGCACACAAAGATGCAGATAGATGGGACACAAGAATACAATACATGATAAGAAGACGGATTGAAGCACGTGAGTACACAAACTTTAGACACAAATACAGACACGGTGAAATACTATTTTCAATAATGAATGGATGCATGCTCACTTGCCACCTTAGCCTTGATGGGCATTTTCTGTGGGAATACGAAACACGAGTCATTACTGCATTCTCATGGTTAGCACGTGTGCCATACGCGGCGCACACAGCAGTGCCTTGTGTTTTTATTGTCAGTTTTCGTGTCCGTGTTGGTCCTTTGTGACAACCCAGAAACCCTCATTGCTTCTGCACAAGCCACATAGCAGCAGCAAGAGCAGAGCGAGCATCAGCCCAAAGCATCACACCAGTTCAATGTGCTTACTTAACTCAAACACAAACTTCCTCATTGCACTGCTGGTGCCAGAGCTATTTGTGAGCTCCTGTTAAGGCCAGCGCAACAAAGGGAGTGTTGAGGCAACAACGCGGAGTTCTGACCTCCTGTGGCGCGTCGTGAACTGGGCGCAGGCAGGGCTTAATTTCAGCCGTGCCGCTCTGCGTCGGCTACTCACCACTGCTATCAATCACCCGTATATCTGTGTGTATGTGCTATGAAGAAGGGCCATTGCCCGAAACGTCACCTATTATACATGTTTCCTTTTAATGCACTGTTATTAATGAATGCGAGTTTGTTTTGTGTATGTGGATCTGGACACAGCTCGTCCGGTAATCAAGGCTACATTGGTTGAGTCATGTAGCCCACATACCTAGCCACCTCTTTCCCAAGCCGTTTCTGTTTAGCCAGATTGGAGGTGCTAAATGGGTGCTGTATGGGCTAAAGAAAAGATGGGCTCATCCAGTACAGGAAGACGTGGAGCGAAGTGGATTGGCCGACGACTGGTACCAGTGGTGTCAAGAGTGGCCTCTTTGGACGAGGCTCGTGAAGGACGCTACTGGGCAGAGGAGCGATGCTCAAAACAACGAGCGGAGCGCCGGGCGGCTAAAACGGATTAAGTTCGCACAGTGGGGAGCACATGTGGCGCATCTGCCAGTCATCTCACTCAGCCCATGGCACCTGGGTCTCTCCCGTGAACTCGTACCAGAGAGGCTTTGACACTTCACGTGGCCTCAGAGTGCATATAGCCTGATGCAAGCACTGTGGCAATGTCTTTGTCACTGTCAGCTGATGTTTTATGTTGGGAGCATGAGTGTGTTAGTAAGTGCACTGCGCTATGAAATTGGAAACCCAAGTTTGATTCCCGCTTATGGTCAACATCAGTTGTGAATATTTGAACCGGTCTTGGGCCTCTCTTAGGCCGACTTAGTGTTAAATGAGGACCTGGTGTGGTGTGTCAACATCAGCACTGGGGATAAAAAGGCGGCTGGGCGTGGTGCTGTTCACCCACCCCTTCGAGTGCCATGCCGGCCTTCATAGGTGCTCAAGAACAGCACTTTCCCCAACAATTTACTCGAGGCTATATGGGGAACCTTTGACTCTGTATCTGTATATATGTGTGCTTGTATATGTGCACGTGTGTCCGTGGGAATGTGTAGTATGTGCTTCGTACAAACGTGCCCGTGTGCATGTCGGGGCTTACCCCTCCCTGCCGTGGAACAGCTGCTGGCCTCGGGGCTCAATGGCACGTTGTTGTTGCTTTACAATGCTGCATTTGTCTCTCTGCCGCTGCCATTGGCTCCCAGAAAACTTGTCTGAAACGACACCGCACTTCCTCATCCACACCTGGCACGATTCGCCACAAACCCGTCGAGTAAAGACACCGTGGGGATGGAGCTGTGAAACCAGCTGATGTGCAGGTGCGAAGACGGAGTTTTGTGTTGCAGGACCGTGAGAGATGGTGAGGGCGTGGGGAAGCTTAAATTTAGTAGTGGATTGATTGTCGCCTATGATGTTGATGATCAGATAGGTTCCGCGTTGTTTACGCCGCACGCATTGTGGGTAAAACACCCCACGATTCTCGACGTGCTTGTTATGGGGCCTGTCGGTGTCATCATGATTGATCGGCTCGCATTCCAGTGCAGTGCGAGTGTGTTGGTGAAAGCGGCAGTAATTGAGAAGAGAGGTTCTTGACGTGGAGCAGCGAGGCAGGACAAATGGAATCGGGGGAAGATCTACGGCCTTGGTAAACAGTTGACGGAGAACCTCGGATCACTCGACTTTCATCAGTTTAAAAGCTGTGGCCTACATCCAGCTGTTGTACGACACACAATTATAATAATACAATGATCCCCATATAGCCTTAATACACTGTTGGGGCAAGTGCTGTTGGCAAACACCTATGAAGGCAGACACGACACACAAGAGGGGTCGTGGGTGGCCAGAACCCACCCCCAGCCACCCTTGTCTCTAGTGGCGATGTTTACATATTGCACCAGATACTCGTTTCAGGCTGAGTCAACCTAGGGGAGGCCCGGGACCGGTTAAGATATTCGCCACTGTTACTGGTCGTGAGCGGGAATCGAACTTGGGTCACCGGGTTCATCTTGCAGCACGCTAACCACTACACTACCGTTCCCCACACACACACATACGTGTTGGTAAAGTTGCCATGCCAGGGAGATGCTGTAAAGAGTTCATGGTAATGGTGATGTTTGTGGTGTTGATGGTGGTGGCAGTGATTAATCTCCTGTGGCATGGGGATGCTGGAGGAATTCATGATAGTGTAGTGACTGACTTGGAGATGTCACTTCTTGGATGCAATTCTTTCATTAAACACAGAGCACATTTTGTACAATACACACCCTACACTGTTACACACTCTCTGTCTCTCGCTTATACGCAACTCAACACTGGTTGCTTGCCGACAACACAACGCTAGCTGTCTGACACTGACGGCGCTGAACTAAGACAGCCAACTACGTCTAGCAGCGCAATATATCAGATGAGACGACAGCGACGAAGGCACTTGACGACAACGATGATGGTGACGATCTTCCCGTCCCGGCCACGCCCCCCTTCTGGAACCTACGAGCGGGCTCTCAACGTGTCCCTTCCGTAACATTTCCCCTAGGTCCCTCTCGGGTCTATCACGTGGCCTGCTGTCAGTCAGGGCTGCTAAAAGCTGCAGATCCCCTTCCCTGCCAGCAACCAGCGCTATGCTGCTTAGTGACCAATTCTATGTCACTTCAATAGTAATGATGAAGGCGGTGGCGATGGTGATGATGGTGATTTTAATGATGATGAATTTCCTGTGGCATGGAGATGTTGGGGCAGGTCATTATAATAATGATGAAGACGATGGCGACGGTGATGATGGTGATTTTAATGATGATAAATCTCATGTGGCAGGGAGATGCTGGGGGAGTTCATGGAGAGTAAGGGTGCGAACAGCCCTGGGATCCTGATGCTCACCACGAGCCTCAGCAAACCGTTTATGCGGCTCGACAGATACCCAACTCTCCTCAAGGAGCTGGAGCGGCACATCGAGGTGCTCTCCCCAATCCCTCCTTCCCTCCCTACCTCCCCAATTCCTCCCCAATCCCCTTCCCAATCGCTCCCTCCCTAATCCCTCCCAGCGACGTAGTCCTGTGTGTGACAGCTACAGTGTCCTAATATAGCACATACACAGACACCTGGGATCTAACAACTTGAATCATGAAATGATCTTGTGCCTAACTTTAGACATTTGCCAGTGACAACACAGAACAGCACCCACAGACACGAGATCTTACAAATTGAATAACACATAGACCAAACAGCTTTATCACAGATCATGAGTGACATCCACAGACAATATCCAGAGACAACACAACGCACACACGGATCACAACTACTATCAAGCATACACCCTATGTATAACATCTATAATCGTACTGAAAATGTAATTTCCGTATTGAGGGGGAGAGGCTGCCCTGGATAGGAGTAAGAGGTTGCCTCTGTCATTGCAGGACACTCACCCGGACAAGACGGACATCCAGATATCTATGACCGCGTTCAAGGGCCTCTCGGTGAGGGAACACACACTTGTGTGTGCGTGTGTGCATGTGTAGTGTGGAACCTACTCTGAGGGAAGGTAACGCGACACCTGCTCATTCTTTATTCATCTTCATACACCCCAGTGTTGAGCGCACACGACACTTCACGCACAACACCACGCGTGGTACACCTCAATCCCTACTAGCCGCCCCTACTCTCTCCTACACCACCCACACCTGCTCAGGACAAAGAAGAAGACCCCCGTGCGTTCCCGCACGCCGGCTTTTATTCCCCCAGCCAGACTCCGCCCACCCGCCAGGACCTGCCCGACAGCCAACCCGCAGCCCACACACAGACGCCTCCCCCCAGCCGCACGCGCGTCACTCAACCACCACACGTGCCTCTCACCAGCCGCGCGTGCGCCACCCCACCACACAAGCGCCTCCCACCAGCCGCGCGTGCACCACTACACTAACTCAACAACCCATGCCGGTGAGCTGCAAAATGAACAAAAAAACAACAATACCAACAGGAAAACGCAGCGAAAGTGTTCCATCCAAAAAAGGACAAGACACCCCATGGACCTGTGGCGCCGACCACACAGTCTAGCGCCACTGTCACACTCGTCATTCAAACATCACGCTCCGGGAGTGAGTTCTGGTGGCTGGCCCAACCCGTGAACAGGGGTCCATCTTGTCTGGGGCCAGAGAATGGCCCGGTTGATCCAGGAGACACGGCTCCTGCCGGGCCGGAGGGGGATGGTGGCCGCTCGCTCTCGCGACAAACTGATGGCAATTTTGTGATTTAAATTTAAGGTTCGCAGCTCTCTAACAAAAACCGACCTCAATCGCTGCAAATGTTTGTCGAAAGTGCGGCTGAAAACTATATCATCATCAAGATAAATTAGACAAGAGTCCCACTGCAGACCCGCCAAGACCAATTCCATTAGGCGCTGAAAGGTGGCTGGAGCAGAATGGAGCCCCATCGGGAGACAAAGTGAAACGAGCCTTGCGGTGTGCAGAAAGCGGTTTTCGGGTTTTGACTCCAAGGGTAACTGCCAAAACCTGATAATAAATCAAGGGTGGAGAAAAAACGCGCACCCGACAGGGCATCGAGCGAATCGTCCATTCGTGGAAGAGGGTAAGCGTCGGCCACCAAAATTTTATTTAACTTATGAAAATCAACGCCAAACCGAAGCGTACCATCGCGTTTTTTAACTAGCGCAATGGGCGCTCCCCAAGGGCTGGTTGAGGGAGAATATATCCGCCGCCAACATTTCGTGAACTGCCAGGCGGGTTTAACTGAATAGGGGGCGAATTCCCCGTTTCAATGTGGCGCTGCAGCAGAGACGTTCGACCAACATCAAATTTGCCCCTTGCTACAAACGTCACATCGTGCAGAAGTCGCCGAAGTTGCAACCGCTGATCAACAGTCAAGTCGGGATTTTCGAAGGACAACTTCTCAATCCACTTTGACCCGTCACCCTGAACAACTCCCCAACAACACCGGACACGGGTGCCTCCTGTCCCCCACACTGAGCGGCCATCGCATGTGCCATGACGGTACCGGCCTGTATCGTGATCGGTGTGTGCCCCGCATTAACTACTTGTAAAAAGGGCTCGCGATTGGCCGACACCACAGTTAAGGCCCCCACCAGGGAGAGCGACTTCCCTACCGCATTCAAGGGTGTCAATAAGACACCGTCCTCCGGGGCCGACAAGTGTAAATCTTTGCGAAGCCGCAGCGGCACAAGCATCTGAGTGCCCGGTGGTACCTTGACAGTTTTGGTAGCCAGTGCTTGAACAACGGCGTTCGCCGACCCCAGCCGAGTAGGGAACTGCAAAAATCGCAGTCGCCGGCCCGAAGGCATTTCAATACAGCCCTGATCCACTAGGATCTTAAGCGGCATCCTACTCAAAAAGTCCGTGCCCAACAAACAAGGCACGGTCAGAGTTCTTCCCCAATTTTCCCAGGCTACCCCCGTTCGCTGCTACACGTGCGTTCTCCACGGGGTCGAGACGACAGGGCGACGGCAATAACTGACAAAGCGCTTCGGAAATCATGGTGGCCGAAGCCAGAATCCACCAACAACCGCACCGGGACCCCCTGTTGTACGTAGCCGTCTACCGCCGACCATCCCGCCGTGGCACTTCACGCACAACACCACGCGTGGTCCACCTCAATCCCTACTAGCCGCCCCTACTCTCTCCGACACCACCCACACCTGCTCAGGACAAAGAAGAAGACCCCCGTGTGTTCCCGCACGCCGGCTTTTATTCCCCCAGCTAGACTCCGCCCACCTTCCAGGACCTGCCCGACAGCCAACCCGCAGCCCACACACAGACGCCTCCCCCCAGCCGCACGTGCGTCACTCAGTTACCACACGTGCCTCTCATCAACTGCGCGTGCACACTACAGGTCTATGTCCACCTTCTGCAACTGCCTCAGCAATGGTGGCGTTAGAGTTCCCATAGAAGGAAAATGTGCTTTGAATAGCGCTAGATTGGCAGCTGAAGTCTCACTTCGAAACAATTTAGCGGCATTATCTTTTCATCGGCTGCCGAAGCTACATGGAAGTTTAAGGTCTTCTCAGCCACATTTGTAACTTTTTATCTCTGTAATTGTAAAACACTGACCCCTTTACAGGAACACCGGTGCCGGATTGTTACATTCAGGCTGGCCTGCTTACGCCATCCTGAGTTCAACCAGCTGGATTGTGTGAGGAGCTCACAGATACTTGAAATGTTTGAATACAGTCCCAACAGTGAGCTCCGGCAGGCAAGGCTACGTTAGCTAGTCAACCAGCCCGCATGCCCAATGACCGCATGCCAAAGCAGGTTCTCTTTGGCCGGATAGAGGTGGTGGTGGTGATGGTGGTGGTCATCATCATGACCACCACCATATAGTTATATTGACGATGAGATTGTATTTGTGGTGGTGAGGGGTCTAAACTGGCGCCGCATGGGCTTGAATTGGAAATGGGTAGATGTGGAGCTGAGTGGACTTGCCGATGACTAGTACTGGCGGTGTCAAGATTGCCCCTATGTGAATCGCGTTCACAATGCCGGTGATTCCGACCGTCGGCGTTGTGACGCTGCCCGCGTTCTTCCTCCTCCTCCATGCAGGCGCAGTGCACAGACATGCGCAAGCGCAAGGAGCTGGAGCTGCAGATGGTTACGGAGACGATCCAGGGCTGGGAGGGGGAGGGGATCCGCTCGCTGGGCGGCGTCCTCTTCGTGTCCCACGCGCTCGTGCAGTGCGCCGGCAGCGACGTGAGCGAGCGAGTGTCTGTGTGTATGTAAGGGTGTGGTTGTGAAAGAGTGTTAGCATCTTCGGTGCTCGCTAACAGCACTTGCTCCAACAGTCTGTTAAGGCTATATGGGGGATCTTTGTCTTTGTAGATTGGGTGGATGGGTTGGAGGATGAGTGGGTGAGTGTATGAGCATTATATCAGCTTTTGTAGATGCTCGCTAACAGTACTCACCCAAATAGTCTGTGTAGGCAACATGAGGGTGTTTGTCGTGGTGTGAGCGAGTTTGATGCCTGCTCACGGCCAACACCAGAGACGATTATTGGAACCGGTCCTGGGCCTCCCCTAGTTTGGCTCATGAGTACCGGGTGTGGTGTGTAATCACCACCACGAGGAAGACAAAGATGGCCGGGTGGGGTGCTGGCCACCCACCCCCTATTGTGCTGTGCCGGCCTTCATATGTGCTTGCTAACCGCACTTTCCCCTGAAGTCTGTTAAAGCTATACGGAGTGTCTTTGTCTTTGTGATCAGTGTGCATATTAAGAGTGTACGTGTGTACACGTGTGCATGCGTATAGGAGCGGAGCGAGCGGTACCTCCTGCTCTTCCCCACTGTTCTCCTGATGCTGTCAGCAAGTCCTCGCATGAGCAGCTTCATTTACCAGGTGACACACGGGGACACATAGGACATGTGAGACATGGAGGCACTCGATACACGTGGGGATATGCGGGACACACGGGGACACATGGGGGTACGACGTGGGGTGAGTGAGCCACTCAACTAGTGGAGCGCTGAGTGAGTGAGCCGGTGAGTGAATGCAGACCCCATCGTGTGCGTGGGTGAGTGTATGGATGGATGGGTGAGTAAGTGGGTGAGTTAATGTATGAATGGGTTGGTGAGTTTGTGTGCGTGGGTGGTTGGGTGAGTGTGTTGATGGCTGGATGAGCATAAGAGTGGATGACTTAGTGAGTAAGCAGGTGAGTGGATCATTCAGTGAATGTGTGAGCTGCTGGTGAGTGAGTGTGTGAGTGAACCTCGTGGTCTATCCCCTTGTCCTGCAGGGCAAGTTGCCGCTCACGGGCATGACGGTCACGAAACTGGAGGACACAGAGATCGTGCGGAATGCATTTGAAATCACAGGTTTGAGCTTCGTGTTGGGAGCCTCACGTACACACATATACTATACAAATATATATTCGCAAACACATTCATATATGCAACAACAACTGGCATTCATTAAGTGACGGTCATGTCACCGTAGCACTTGTGCCAGAATAGGTGCACTTTGAGGCCATTTGAAATTTCGAAGGCTCGCTGGCAGGAGATCATGGAACACCCAGGTGCTATGGGTTTAATGACTGGCACATGCACTACCCGTGCTGCCCACTATGCCACCTTGCCATGTTCCAGCCGCCCAGCGCTCCACTCGATGTGAGCTTCACTCCTCTCCTCCACTGTTGTTGGAGGGTTACACACGTGCATATGTGTGTGTGTGTGTGTACTTAGGGAGCAAGTATACCAAATAAAGGACGACTATGTACATTACATACGTATGTTATGAATGTTTGTGTGTGTGCAGGGAGCATGATAGAAAGGATCGTGGTATCCTGCCAGAGCCCCCAGGACGCGCAACAGTGGATAGAGCATCTGCACCGGCAAACCAAGGGCCCCGCTGCAACATGCAGCACTCCCGGTGCCAAGACGGCGCCCTCGCACAATGTGAGGGGCACGGGGGCATGGGTAGAGTAGAGAGACTGGGATATGGGGACATGAGGATATGGGGATACGCGGAACACGGGGACATGTGTGAATCGATACACGGATACACAGGGGGACAGAGGCATGAGATTATAACATCGTAAACCCACAGAGACACATTAATATGGGAGATTAGACTAGAGACACCTGTTTGTCTGTCCCTGTGTCTCACCTTGTCTTCGTTTCACAGCTCCCATCACCACCCCCGTCCCACGCCTGTAAGACCTCAGATTCGGGGCCCAAATCTCCGGCGCTTAACCCTGGATACCACACCCTGCCGCTAGCCGGGGCCCACGGGGGCCACGGGGGCCACGGGGGCCACGGGGGGGGAGCCTTGTCGGCGGTGTCGCGGGCCCCTCTCGAGCCCCCCCGTCTCGCCAAGCCCTGGAGCCTCAGCTGCTTGAGGCCGGCGCCGCCATTGAGGCCCTCGGCAGCGCTAATCTACAAGGAGGTGAGCGCTAGGACAAACGGGAACAATAACCAGCACCGCAATTCGCCACAAAGTAAAGGTGATGTCACCACGGTGCTTGTGCCAGGCTAGGTGCCACGTTAAGCAAGGAAGACTCACTGGCGGGAGGTCACGGAACAGACCCAGGTGTTACCTCTTGATTGACCGAGATGGCTGGCAGGCGTACTACCTGTGCTCCTCACTACAAACTTTGTGCGTTTTAGCCACCCTGCGCTCCGATCATTCTTGTGAGTGCGCTCCTCCGCCCCCCATTGTTGCTGGTGATTAACTCTCTCCAGCTGCCCAGTAGCATCCATCACGGGGCTCCTCAACATGCAGTCACAGACACTAGCCCAGTGCCCAGTGTTACCAACTCCTTAAATCGGAAAGTCGCCAAATAAATCTAAAGAAGTGACAGATAGAGCTCGTGAAGTTGCATAAAATGTCACGACAATTCGCCAAGTATGGCTCGCAATGATCTGTTACAGGATCTTTAACACAGACCAGGGATCGCTCCTAATATGATTTGTGTATTTTTTCGTGGAACGTCGCTAGATGAGTCGCTAGTTGTTTTGACAATATTTCGTGGCTGGATCGAGGAACAAAATCACTAAGTTGGCAACACTGTCATGCAAGCATTTCCTCTCATCGTATAGGGTAGCCGAGGATGGCAGAGGGAGCATATGAGGGTGTGAGATTGTGTTTGTGAGCGAATGTGAGAGTGCGAGTGAGCGAGCCGTGGTGTTGTCTGTGCAGGATCTCAGTAAGAGCCCCAAGGCCGTGAAGAAGCTGCTCTCCTCCCGCAAGACGCGGAAACCATCAGACGACGACCCCACGCTACGCAAAAGTGAGGCTCTTGTCACAACGCTCGCCAGACATCCGGCAATCGCTGTCACGCTCGTGGTTAACCAATCGGTGGCAGGGCGTGTGGGGATGGGGTTGGTCGTTTGGTATGGATCGGGTTGATGGGTGGGGATTGGGTGGCTGGGGGTTTGGTGACTGGGTGGGTGGGGATGTGGTTTGTGTGTGTGGGTGGGGATGTCATGGGTGGATGGGTGGGGTGGGTGGATGTGTGCAACAGTGGGTGAAGCAACCAATGAGTGTTGAGTGAATAAGCGAGTGTTGTAATGATTGATGGCTCTGAGTAATTAAGTGGTTGAATAAGTGATTGAATAAGTGAACAGTTAGGTGAGTGGTTTAATGAGGGAGCACTTGATTGAGGAAATACGCGATTTACTTAGTAAGTTGGTAATTGAGTAAAAGTGATTGCTTGAGTGTGAATGCCTGGACAAGTGCTCTCATACTTGTTATAATTTCCCCTCGTCATCCCCTCTCCCCGTCTCTCCCCATGTGCTGTAGGCACGGCGGTGGCGCTGGAGGAGGATTCTCAGATCCTGAAGGTGATCGAGGCGTATTGCACCAGCGCCAAGACGCGCCAGACGCTCAACTCCAGTAAGTGACGCAGCCGGCCTCTGTGTACGCCTCCCCGTCACCCTTGTCCAGTGGGCCCGGTGTGTACTACATACCGCCCCACACGTACCGCCCTCCGTGTGCCACGTGCGTGCCGCGTCGTGCGCGCCGCGTCGTGCGCGCCGCGTCGTGCGCGCCGCGTCGTGCGTGACGTCGTAAGCGTGCGACAGCCGATCCGCGTCACGTGGAGCTGTAGTTTCTAATCTAGCGAAGTGATTTCATAGCCACTCGCTTGTACACGAGTGGTATGCAAGTGCATGGGTGAGAGATTATGACTGTGTCTTTGGTTGACGGTACTCTGTTGTGTGTTTCAGTGAATGTGCGTGTGTCTGGCAGTGAGTGTGCATATATCTGTATTATGGGAAGCATTGCCTGGGTGGTTATCGCTCTGCACTACGAACCCAGTGTCCCGAAATTGAGTCCCAGATATTGCTAGCATCACTAGTCTTGCTTGCACAGACTCTTACTGATGGGGAACGCTGTCAGCGTCGTGCTGCGTCGCTAACTGGTGGGGGCGGCTCTGGTGTCTGCATGTGATTCCTATTACTGGGCCACGTCGCGTGCCGCATCCGGTATTCTTGTATGGGCAATAATAATAATACAGGGTGGATGTCGTTTGATATATTTCTGTTTAACTTTTTTGGTACTTTATAAAAAAATTCTAACGCAATATTACAATAAAAACTGCCAAAGATTCCAAACGTTTGTGTTGTGCGGTGTCACGATGCTTTGTGTGCATCCCTCCTGGATGGAGAAGGCCCGAGGCTTGTTTAATTTGATCACAAATCGGAGGAGAGAGGTGAAGAGATACGTTCAGTCAGCCGAGCAAGGTCTCTGTGCAGCCCAACCTCCACCGTTGGGGTCTTCTTGACAACCCAAACTGCAGCCGGTCCACTAAGTTCAGCGGAGTTCTACGAGAACCACACGGTCACCCAGGGCTTTATTGCGTGACTCGCCGGTTACCCATGAATAAAGTCAGCCAAGCGTCACATCCGAGGAAAAGATGGCGTCACAGAACCACTTCACGGGTCTGTATTTGGCTCTCGCACAGCACTGGGTGGTGTTCACTTGTGCCCCCTGAAGAGGGTTTTGTTGCTTGTCAGTCACCCAGTGTTACTTACAGATCTTAGCTCTTAGCACCATCTGCCTTCGGCCGAGTTAAACGAAAACAGAACTTAAATCGGTGGATCGTTTGTGCAGTCGTTTGTGACCGAACCTCACACTCTCTTACACTGGGGAACCTAACGTAATCTCTGTGGTTGAAACCTGTAGCTGAACTCTGGCCTCTGACAATTCTGGTTCATTGCTCGTATCCCTTAGTCACCTGGCCACCTCAATTCACTCAACTAGGCAATGTTGAGCTTCATTGTTTCTTATCCAAGGGAGATCCGGGAGAATCGTTATGTTGGGGAGGATTTCTATTTTCCTATCATGGTCTTTCAATTGCCTGGGTGAATCATCAGTTGAAGGTGTTGATTTCAAGATGCTTCTGATGCTGCCCAGGGATGAGCAGAGACTCCTCTTGTCGACGTCAGCGTTAGCAGAAGCGCGGGAAAGGCCACAGGGTGTTTCTGGACGCTATGTGAATGAGCGACGCACGCAGTGGTGCCGGTGTGTGAGTGACGGTCCTAGAGTGGAGAGCTTGCTGCTCGTGAAAGATCACACACCTGGAGCAGGGGTTGGCTGAGCACACAGATATGGAGCCAGCATTACATCTGTAGGGCAGTCGGGTGGTGTCGGGTGGTACGGCAAGTGGGTGTTGACAGGCTGTATGTGTCGTGCCCTTTGGGAATTTCTCCTCTGCATGCGTGGGTTTTCTCCTGTATTTCTGTTTACTTTCACGTTTGGCAAACTCGCAATACAGTGCTGCATATTCCAAGCAGTCTTGAGACTCGTGGATAATTGAAGGGCTGCTGTCCTCTGTAACGTCACCATACCCCACTCAGACGTACAATGGTTGCTCCCCCCCCCCCCCACCTTGCGATTCAATGAATTCTCATGAATTAAGCTCGCAGGCTCATTTAGTGCACGTGTCCTGCGTGAATCGGTTTGATTTCAATTGAAGCTCTGTGGCTGCCACTTGGCACCAGTTCTGCAGGGAGCTCCATTTGTGCAAAGTTAATTTGTGTTTTCAAGTTACGTTTCACGGATTCTCGAGCGAAGTCACTCGGAGAGTAAGCTCGCATTCCTTTTGTCGTATTCCATCGTAGTCAGCCTACAGAGCCGCTGTTTGTGGCATCTAGAGGTTTGGCTCTCACATTGGCTGTAACAGAGACTTCGGACGACGCTCTTGGTCGTGCACTCCGCTCTGTCCTCTTCTCCCTCACTTATGGTGGGGAACCCATGACTTCATGTCCCATGAGGCCTACCTACCCCCTTGAAACGGCTCACAGAGCATCATAGCCAAACTAATTGGGTATTAGAGGTGAATATTTTCGACCTGGCCACAATGTCACAAATATAATTTGAACACGCTCATTCACGGCTGTCACTCGAAGGGTCTCTTGCAGTGGCAGTGGTGACTGAGGTCTTTGTGTTAGTGTTTATTTTTTTACTTTTTATATCATAAATATATTACCTGAATAATGCCTTGAAACGGAACGCCTCATTTTCAAGGATGTCCTGGATGTCAATTAATGCATACATAGCGAACACGCAATGACCCGCATGCAATGTGTGGTAGCCCCCAGGGGTATTTGACTGCACTATTGGGCCCTCGGGAGGAATGGTTCCCCACCCCAGCTCTGATGGTTCTCTCTGGGGCTCCTTGGTCACTGCTCGATCGCTTCTGGGGGCCCTGTCGCTCGCCACGCTGCGCAGCTACTGCTCATGCAGCCTGCGGTGGTGTCGCTTGAAGCTCCGGCTGTCCAGCTTCAGTGCCGCGCGCTCGTTGCTCCCTCGCTGTTCCCTTGCTGCTCGCTCGACCGTAAGTGGCTCGGAGCCTCCAGCATTCGCAGGGTTTTGTGCTGCAGATCTCTTCGGTGGATTCGCGTTTAAACCCTCACAGTTTCAAACGCGCCGTTAACTTCTCGTGTTATTTATTTCCTAATAATACATTCGTTGAGAATGTATGTTTTGTAGGCCGTGAAGCTGCCATTGACCTAAGTAAATTTGGAATCTCATGTTTAGAAGCTGTCCTATCCCTTCTGTGACTATCAACCAGACTGCTTGGGGTGGATGGTTCGTGCATGTCTTCAATCATAAATGTGAATCAGGCTGTGCCAGGGACTTGGGTCTGGGAGCTCTGGTCTGGAACTCATTAGGAACAATTTCTCTCGAGTCCATCCTGGTCTTGAAAACGAGATAGTGCTGTTGTATCAGAGCTGTAAAGTGTCAGGCAGCGACTGTGAGCGTCGCGTTCTCACAGGGCCTAACCTCGCATGGTCACGTGACGCGGCATACGCACGTGGTGAACGCCCAACGCACGCAGCTTGTCACCGAACTGTGACCACACCGGTACTCGGCAATGAAACACGTGAGAATGAAACCCATCGGACTCACGGCGCCGTTCCACCTGGGGATCAGCAGCGTGTGGTGAAACCGCATTGTCCTGGGCAGCGAGTCAAATGGCTTCAGGCTGGTCACAGATTGGGCCGTGAGATTTAGATTTTTACTGCACAGTTACATAGAAGTGAATCTCGGTGTCAACGACATTTGCTGGTGTCCGGAGAATGATAAGGTGAGAGCATGAGAGAGTGAGAGATTGAGTTACTGAGAGGGTGACTGCAGTTATCAGGGGGAGTGGCTGAGAGAATGAGGCCCTCTACTTGAGGCTGTGGTTGCTGCTTCTCACCTGCGCCTGTCTCTCGCATCACAAACTCATGATGCTGCTGCTGCTTTTGCACTCGGACTCCTCATGCTCACCCTAACGCTAACGCAACTCGTGTTTGCTGTCTCGTGTTTGTGTTCTTTTATTTGTTGTGTTCAGTTTGTCTTGGGTTTTTATTTGTCTTGCGTTTGTGTTCTCCGTGTATTCACGTCACATTTGTCCGAGTTTAATGTTGTGCGTCTTGAGCTGCCTCGTTGTGCTTGTCTAGTTTTTGTGGGTTGTGTCACGTACGGCTTGTGTTCTGTTGATGTCAGGTTGTGCTTGTTTTGTGTTTGTGATGTCTCACGGTGTGTATCCCCATAGTGTTTGTCTCGTGTAAGGTTTTACACATTTGTGATGTGTCCTCAGGTTACGTGTTCCATGTGTGGCACGTTCATCTGCCGTTGTTGCTGTCTCGTGTATTGTGTTGTGTATCTCTTGTCTTTGTTGTCTCTGGTGTTGTGTGTCTTGTGTTGTGATTGTGTCGATTGTGTTCCGTGACGCCTGTCTAATCTTGCCTGGTGCTGCTGCTGCTGTTGCAAACTAAACTAACGATCGGTCTCCTCTCCTCCCTTTGCCACATCTGTCTCCTCTCCTCCCCGTGCCACCGTCTGTGTCTCTCCTCCCCGTGCCATCATCTGCGTGTCCCCTCCCCGTGCTGTGTCCGTGTCACCACCCGTCGTCTCCATGTCCCCTTGCCGCTGCTAACTGCACCGCTATCGCGCGCTGCACTCCCCTTGCTGTTTGCAATGATCTCCGTGTATCTTGATCAACATTTTTATTCCCATTTTCACTTGAATCACTCATAAATGTCGGTCTTAATCCATACATTTCCACACCAAATAATTTGTTGCCATTGTTCAAATCATCACCATTTATTATAATCACGTTGCAATAATCAATTTGGCATACATTTTCGTTGTCTGTCATCATTTTAAACATAACATTGCATAACTGTGCATTATTTCATGATCCTTTATTTAATATCCATGATAATCTTAATGGATTAACACTTACGTTTTATTAATATAAACATTTGCATTTTGCGTGATTATGTTTATTAATTCCGTTTGACACAATTGTATAAACTGTTTTTGTGTTTTGTTGCTGTTTTGCATCATTGTGGCTTTGTGTCGCTTGTTTCTCTCATTGCATGGAACCATCGCATGGCCCTGCTTCTCATGGTCGCTCGCACCTCGCTCGCACCTCGCTCGCACCTCGCTCGCACCTCGCTCGCACCTCGCTCGCACCTCGCTCGCACCTCGCTCATACCTCGCTCGCACCTCGCTCGCACCTCGCTCTGGCTGTTGGAAAACTGCCTCTTGGGCCTAAACTGCCCCCACGTCCCCTCTGCTGCATCACAACATGAACCCTCGCACTGATTGTCTCGGATTCATCATTGCCTCCACCACAAACTCACACCTCTCCTTGACAACCCTCACTCTTTAACATCCACTCCACATCTTAACATTGCAACTTCAACGGGCTTTGCTTATACTGAAACATAACTGCTTATTCCCAATCTCCTCCCTGCTGCTTTCTAATCACGCCCCACGTGTTCATTAACTCCTTTTATGTTTTGTCTCTGTTATCGCTGTATCCGCACATCCAATTAATTCCGCTGTGCTGCCTCATATCTCTGTCTTGGCTGCTGCTGTTTGTGATGGTTCCTCGCCCGTTCCTTCCCTCGCAAACATATCCCTTGTGATGTCATCTTCGACCTGATTCGGAGCTTCCAACGCCATCTCCCTCTGCTCCCTCCCTCACATAATTCCCCTCGTTTCTTATCTTCCACCGTGCCCTGCTCCTCCCCATGCCCTCCACCTCCCCCTGCCTCCTCCCGCCCTACCTTCTCCTCTGTGCCCTCCTCCTCCTACTTCTTCTCCTCCCTCTTCCTGCCTCCTCCCTGCTCCCACTTCCTTCACCTTCCTTCCCCCTCGTCCATGTGCCCTCCTCCCCATGCCCCCCCCCCCTCCTCCTCCTCCCTGTGCGTGCCATAGCCTGGCAAGCGACTGATCTGATGCACAACCACGTGCTGCTGCCGCCCCCTGAAGGGGCAGGCTCCCGGCGGGGGTCTCTGTCGGGCCCCGCCGAGCACCCCGGAGAGCAGCCCCCCCCAGCGGAGAGCGACAGCGTGTGGCTGCCCCAGAGCCAGCCGCACCAGCAGCACCACCACCACCACCATTCACACCAGCAGCACCATCACCACCACCAGCAGCACCATCACCACCATCATCACCAGCAGCACCAGCAGCAGCAGCAGCCACAACAGCCACAACAGCTGCAGCAGTCACTGCAGCAGCCGCAGTACCCACTGTACCGCAGTCTGCACAGCACTCGGCGCACACACTCATACATTCACCACCAGAACTAAGAACACAGATGGGCACTCTCACTGACATACACACTCACTGTGACAGACACACACAAAGACAAAGATCTCCCATTTTAGCCTCAACAGACTGTTGGGGCAAGGGCTGTTAACGAGCCGGCGTGGCACACGAGTTTTTGGGTTGGCTATGGTCACCTTTTAACATTTCACCAAGTACTCATTTGAGGCTAAGTCGACCTAGGGGAGGCCCAGGACTGGTTAAGATAATAGTTACTGATGTTGGCCGGGAATCGAACTCGGGTTGCTGTGTTCGTAGTGCAGCGCGCAAACCGCTACATGACCGCTCCCCACATTGGGCACATATATACATGCATCCACACATGTACAAATCACATTCACACATACCTGCGTGTACATGTGTATACATGCAGATTGGCAAACACGCATTGGACAAATGTATGCTGAGACATGCACACACACCAATATGCATGCATGCACATACGTATCCACACAGGTTCAGAGATATGCAGGCTCCCTGGGTCTCGCATAATTCACTGCATACTGATAATTAAATCTCTGCACACACACATCTGCGTATTCACATCCGTGCATGCACTCTTTCCACTCGTGGAGCACATCGGCAGTTTTGATTCACATGCATGACCTTGCACCGATTGTGTAGGCAAGCCCCCCGTGCGCAAGGTCTGCACACCGCTGTACACACAGACACCTTGCGCACGCACACTGACTGCACCCCGCACTCGCCACAATTATCCATACACACCGAAGTGTGTTTATACACCTCTTAGTACAAAGACAAAGATCCCTTGTATAGCCTTTACAGACTGTTAGGGCAAATGCTGTGAGCGAGCATCTACGAAGGCCTGCACAGGCACACAAAGGGATGGGTGGCCAGTACCACGCCCGGCCGCCTTTATTTCCCGAGTGGTGATGTTTACACACCAAGGCTGAGTAGATTTAGGGGAGACACAGGACTGGTTCAGATAATCGTCACAGATGTTACCCCTGAGCAGGAATCGAATTCCCGTCGCCGGGTTCGTAGCACAGCACGCAAACTGCAGCAGTCGGATTAGCACGGTTGGCCACGTATGTTGCAAGAAAGTTCAACGTACATTCACATCCCTTCATATACACAAACCTTCATATACACAAACCTTCATATACACAAACCTGAGTAGACACTCCTGGGTGGACACACGCACACTTGTGCGTACAAGCACTCGCACACACGTACCGACTTGTACCCACACACCAATAAATAGCACACACGCCTATATTAACACTGAACAGGAAACAGAAACGTAGTGGGACTAGAAGTGGTGCTGTTTGTGAGTGAGTTAGGCACTTAATGAGCTCTCTAATGCGGGAGCTGTCTCACTGCCCACATGCATGGTGCTGACGTGCAGAATTCGTGTCGTCGGTGCCTGACAGAATCGCTCATCTGCGAAAAGTATCACCATGATCTGTGGCGCGTTAAACCTGTGCACACCACTTTGCATTATGGGTATTTAATTCCGAGGGTCGGAGCACTCGGCAAGATTTGCGGGGTGGGGGGTGGCGGCTGAGCCGCCCTTGCCCTGTGTGGTTGAACTCGGAAGTTCGAATCTCGGTGGCCACTGTGACGAGTTTGGCCTCTCGGAGACTCCCTCGCACATGCGAGTGGGCACACACAGCCTGGGCTAATACGCGTGTAAAATAGAAGTTGTTTTAAGGGTTTGAACCTGTGCAGATGCACAAATGCGTGTTTAAAATATTTCAGAATGCGAACAGCAGATATCGGCTGCTGAGATGAGATTTGTGCACTTTTGTACTCAATAGGCCTCCTGTTAAGTCTAAACAATGGACGCTCATTTGCAGCAACCAATGGTAACCACACACAAGATGTGATGGAATATTCGCCTCGTTAGTCATGTCGCCGTGCGCCCCTGTGTTGCCCTTGATTCCTGTTTTACTTTGGTAATGTCATGCCCCAAGGGGTTGTGCTGTGGACGTTATGGGCGGCGGGAGGATTTGACGACTTACACTGACTCGGGTTTCTCTATGATGCACGCGAATTTGTCACCAGTCGCTCCAATCAGCAGCCAGTGTAGCATCCCCTCGACCCCATCGGAACCCCGACTCAGCCGAGACAGAACCCTCCTCTCGATACAGAAACTGTGGCTCGTTTGGGTGCTCTTGTTTGGCTCCTCAGTTGTCTTATGGCCGTAGCCAACTGCACTAATTTCTGTGTCGCTGTATTAACAACTGCGGTCATCCCAGTGATACACACATCAGCTCCATAGTCTCTTCAGTGCGTGCTTTTGGAAGCAACCAATTGAGTTTCTCCTGGTTGCGACCAAACATGAAAGAAAGCTACAACCCCAAACGATAAAAAGCTCTTCTCTAATAGATACACTTATTCTACTTGTCCCGGACTGTTCCACACAAGCTTGAAGCGTTGTTTATGAAAAAATAATCAGTTAAGTTGTGTTGATGGGCACTCGAGTACTGCCACTCCAGTGGCTTATTGTGAAGTGTGCAAGGCCACAGTGACATCACTAGAGTGACTGCTGACGATCACAGATCGGGATGAGTGCATGAGTCATTACAGCCATAGCTGCTGCTGACACTCATAAACAGCAATATTCATAAACCTGAAAGGACCTTAGAACAAACGATGTCTGTTGACGGAACAATTGGCTAAGAGATCGCTTGTGAAATAATGCTGCTTAAGTTGGTGGGGCCACGTACACCACATCGGTGAGGAGGCCGCAGTGAAGTCGCTTTGTCCACGCACCAATGCTGGATGAGGGCCTTCATGCGGGTCCCAGAAAATAACAAAGGAGAGAATGATGAGGCTGGAAGTAAACAGCGCAGATGCAATTTGCATCTTCTGGTGTCACATGGAAAGCGGTCTGAGTGATGGTGACACAAGACTGCGACAAGTGGGGGCATTGGATTGCTCTAAGTAGCAACCTGCTTGCTGTACTGTGACGCAGGATGGTCTATGTTACTTATTATTCTTAATTATTCGTGTTGTTCTGCACCTGTTGGAGAGAGACCTCAAATGGTGGTGCGCCGTAGCCATGCGGCGTGACGAGTGGTCTGGACCGCGACAACTTGGGGCGTAGGAATCCTCGGATTCGGCGATCTCATCCTTGACTCGGCCAAACTCAGGCAGCCCGCTGAGGATTACAGGAGCAGCGGGAGAAGCGTCCACAGGCGGCCCTGTGCACGCCTTGTTTAGTTTGCGTGCGAGGACCTCGCTATCGCGGTGCCAGGGTGGTGCCAGGGTGGTGCCAGGGTGGGTTTGGTGCCAAGGGGGTTTGAGACGTCGGGACCCGAGTGGCTCCGCCCAGCGGCTCTGAGTGATGCAGGAACCGGGTCTTGGGTCATTCGCCACGGTTTCAACTCGTTGCCATTTTTTCAATCAAAAGTTGTTTGGAAAATTGATTGAAAGAATGGAAATGTCTACGTCCTTCCAAACAACGCACTCTACATGTCTACGTTTTTCATAATTTGTAAAATGTGTTTGGGAAGCAGTGAATTCGTTTTATTTCCAGGAAGTTGTACATGATGGATTCCGTCCAACAATATCTCTTTGTAATCAGGACACTACTGTAAAAACAAAGCATTGATCACAGTAAATGTTGCCAGCAGTTGCTGTTTAAGAAATAGTATTCCTTGTTGTAAAATGATACTAATTTCTATGAATAGACTTTCATTGCAATAAGCCGAGTTATTTCTCCTGCAGAGATAATTGAGTTGTCACTGTCCAGCGCTGCCACTCTGCATCAGCTCTGTGCTACTTCCCTCATCATCAAGAGCCGTGATCAATCCACTGCTGGATGAAGGCATTTCAAAACCATTTCAAAACCATTTCAAAACCATTTCTACGTATCATGGCCCTGCGATGTAACAATCCAGCCAGCACACGAGCTGGTATACGTCCTCTCGTAAGGCGCCGCGTTCCCTCTTTTGGCTGACACTCCGTCATTCGTATCGATCGTCGGCCACCGTCCCGACTTCTTGCCGTGGCGCGTCCCGCCCACGCCAGCTTCTCTTAACGCTCAATACGATGTCATTAACTTGAGTGTGTCCTCTAATCTTTGTGTTCTACTTGCCGTCTCACAATGTTATTTCCAGTAGATTTAACACAGGTGCGCAGATCACATACAAAAGCTCTCATCCCTATTTAGACGTCGAGCTCAATAGTGAATGCGTGGCCAATTTGTCATTTTGACGGCCAACTCAGTTTAGAGAAAGTGTATGTATGTATAACACGTCGGCTTTCGTGACCAATATCATCCATAATAGAGGGTTTTTTTGGGTTAGATCGCTTAGTGCTGCGTGGAAACGAATAATCAATACATTGTGCAAATGAATGGCTACAAAGGGCAGCATACTTCCATAGGAATTACCGTTGATACATCTATTTAATACACAATAGACAGGAAGGACAAGTTCAAAGGCTCGCATAATGCATAATGTACGTTGCCTCAGTAATTCCCCTCCCCCCCCCACGTGGCGCAAGAGTGCAGAAGCGTGGTCAACACATCTACGTCTCTATATAAGGAACAGAACAGTTAGACTTCTGCACAAATCTGGCTGTCGCCTGATGAAGCTATTTGTAATTACTGGCGAAACGTTGTACTCAGATTGTAAATGTTGTGGCTTCGCTCCCTCCAACACACCGGTGTGCTGTACTAGTGACGAATTGGCACGTTCTGTTTACTTAACAACCCTTACTAGTTGGCTGTGTCGGGTGGTGGGAGGTTTTAACGACACATTTACGCGTTATAACCCAAAAAACCTCGGATGGATGGATGTATCCATAATAGAGGTTTTTGGGATAGATCACGTAAATATAAATGTCGTTAAACCCACCACCACCCGACAGTCAATTAGTGAGGTTTGTCACGTGAACAGAACATGTCGATTGGTTACTAGTACAGGGCACACCGGTCTGTTGGAGAATGAACCCACAACATTTGCAATTCGAGTACGACATTCTGCCAGTAATTACAGGCGACAGAGTTGTGGAGAAATCCTCCGGTTTCGGTCTTAAATAGAGGGATACATAGGATGTCACTTGTGAGCCAATCAGGTACGAAGGCCAGAAGGGGGGTTCATGTCTGCATGTAAATTACAATGGATATCCAGCCGAACACACTCGGGTACGAATTGGTGTGTTTAGTTTACGTGACAAACCTCACTAATTGGCTGTGTCGGGTGGTGGCAGGTTTAACAAAACAATGCGATTTAACCCAAAAACCTCTTATGGATAGTATTTGTCGCGAAAGCCTGTGTTTTAAACTGTGTGTATGTATGTTGAACGTCTTTCACACTGTACGTTGCCAACCGTTCTAACCGGAGGTGCTCAAGGGGCCATCCCAACAGGAAGCAGTCTGATTTGGTTGCTTAAATAACAATATGGCCACATTCTGTTATTATGAGCTGGTGGTCTGGATAGGGCTGAGAGATGTTGTCCATGTGATGCTGCACACCGCTGTGCTGTCAAATCTCGTTATTCCCAGCCTGCAATGTTTGTTTGTATGTTGAACTTCTTTCACACTTACGTTGCCAACCACGTAAATCAGAGGTGTGGGGAGGGACAACCAACTTCCACTTGTAGTTTTGTTTGAAATAGTGCTGTGAATCTACTCCTGGCTCGTGCTCTCACCCAGAGCCCACATTCTCTATTCTGTCTCCATGTATGTGAGAGATGGCAGTACAGCAAGTAGGCTGTCGACCGTTGTGTACACTGGTTGTACTGAGATGTGGCACACTGCGATCTGAGTTCTCCAATGTGCTCACCAGTATGAGTGTTGTCGATAATGCAGGATCCTCTTTAAATAGTCTTAGTCTCGGCGAGGCTCTCCTGGGTAAATCATGTTATTTTTATTAACAAATGTTGCTCTATTTTGCCGATTCATTAAGTTATTGCCATAACGCATTAATTTCCCTGCAATGATTATACCAACTATGCTAAGCTCTCCTTCCCGTACAAAGGGAAGCGCCTGACTCGCACCCCCGGTGCAGTCCCTCAGGCTGGTGCACACGGGTGTCACCGTGACCCACGGTGAGGACGTGGAGAGAAGAGAAAGGGGAGGTGGCGACCGGGCCCTTGGCTCGGTCGGTCTGGTGCGGCTGCCGAATCTGGGGAATTTTTTAAAAGCACAAACGCGCGTCGGCATCAGATCCCTGGTGTCATCCGAATCAAGGTTAATGGTAAAAATGCGTTTTGAGTACAAATATTTACAAATAATCCCATTGCGTCGAGTTTATATAGAACCTCGCGTCTACGAGTGTGACATTGCAGCGTAGATCTGTAGGCAGGTTCCCCTGCACGCGTATGTATGTGTGCATACATGATGTGTGTTTTAAGCTGGATTTTTAATGCCAATGTTAGTATTTACACAGATGTGTTTTTAAATTATTGTTTTCTAAGCATCAATAATGACGCAGTTTATTCCGCGATGACTTTTGCACGCTCGTGTTCAACTGCGATCCAGCATTTGTGATCTCTTAGATTCCTTGTCCTTAGAAGAAGACGCCATCCCATAATCACACGGTTCCTCAATCCATTAGCTTCCCACCCAGGCCGTGTCCCACTGGAGCGTGAACAGTTCAATTGGAAAGTATAGACGATATTACGAGCAAATCACGTCCGATCACGAAAGCCGAGCATGGTTGAGCCAAATGCGGACCATCTTAAAAACGCCATGAAATTTGGACTTCCCTGGTTAAACGAAGGGAATTGTTATTGTTGTCACTGTGAGAGCATGGGCAGCTTTCTCATGATAACACTCTGTGATGTCCCTGCAGTAATACATTCACATTTATGTCTCATGTTCCCTAATTAAATACTTGGCTGATGTTAAATTCTTATATTTTTCTCACCAACGAAGCTTCAAGAGTGTGGAGTATACACGGCATAGGTGTGTAGCTACAAGATGATGGCCATGTGCTTTGGGTTGTATCTTTATAGGAGAAGGAACTAGACTTGTAGTAATTTAAAGGAATTTAACCCTCGTATTTTCATGACATGGACCTTCGGGAACACGGCCTCCTCGTGGCTCGAGGCGTCCTGTCGTCAGGCCGTGAAGATGGTGGAATAACGACGGCATTTTTACCAAATCTCAAGAACCGTTATTTATTTCAAACAACCCTTGCCAGCCATACGAAGGGAGCCCCATTCATCTCCGCTGGAAGCCAGGTGTGAGCCCAAATTCGGGTTCCAGTCGCCCTTCATGACACCGGGTTCTGAAGTGTAACAAGGTGTGAAGTGTAACAAGGTGATGGTCTCAGCCCGCTCACCAATGAGTACATGAAAAACAACCATCTGAGTTCTAAAATATTACCATGTTGGATGACTGACACCATGCAGACAGAGGACAGCTCTTGACACCACAGCACATGCTGGGCGAGACGTGCACATTGAAGGGACTCGACTGACTGGTCGCATAAAATACCATAATTGATGTGAAATTAAATAAACCATTTGTTTATATACAGAGCTGGGAGTGCAGGGCATCCCAGGGTACTTTACAACAGTGGTTCACCTGGGGTGCACGCACGCACCCCAGGTGTGAGACATATGGGCAGATTTTTTTAGAAGGTAAATCATGGAAACACAAATTAAGTATGGGTACGTAAGTACAACTACTTTGTTTCATTAAACCTCTGTATTTGTTAACGTAAATTGTTTTACGATTGAGAACCAAAGGGGTGCAAGGCTGCAGTAAAGGGTAAGAACCACTGCTTTACAAGAACAAACATCTAAAACCTCAAGCCATTGCCGAATCATCAAACTCAAAAAGCAGGTAGCTCACATCAATGTTTAAAAGTTTTATTTAACAAATTTAATTGCAATTTCTGATGCAAGTCGGAGTCATGTTCCGAAGGCAGGGAGATGGCCGTGGAGGTGGCTGTGTGGCCATGTCTACCGGGTCCACTCCCTGGCAAGCTCCGAGTCCCTGCTGAGTGAGGGAGTCCGTGGTCCTAGTACTAATGACTCTCAGACTCGAGTGTGGTGCTGCTGCTGCTTGTGGTTAAATCCTGGTGCGCCGGTACATTGGGCGCGGTGCTTCTTTTCGCCCTCTTCAGAGCACGGCGTGCGGTGAAGGTGGCGCCGTGTTGATGTTCTCTCTATACTGTGGCGGTGCGATTCCACTCCCTGACAAATAAACAGTGGTGCACACGGTCTCCGCGTGCCTGTCAGATGCCACACGGTTGGGCAGGTGACTGACCCTGTAGAGGGTAACTGGGCTGTGGCGTCAATGGACGCTGCAGTGTCTGGTGGTGTGTGATGTGTGTATTGGTATGTTTATGCGTGAACGAGTGTGTGTGTGATTCATTGTTTCTGTGTATACGAGTGTTATGAGAGAGTGTGTGGGGAGCGGTAGGATAGTGGTTGGCATACTGCGCTACAAACCCGGTGGCCCGAGTGACGAATATTTGAACCGGCCCTGGGCCTCCCCTAGATCGACACAACCTCAAATTAATACCTGCTGTGGTGTGTAAGCATCGCCACTGGGGAGACAAAGGCGGTCGGGCGTAGTGCTGGCCACTTGCCCCCTCGTGTGACGTGCCGGATTTCATAGGTGCTCGCTAACAGCACCTGCCCCAACAGTCTGTTCAAACTATATGGGGGAATCTTTGTTTTTTGGGTTGCTGTCTTTCTATGTATACCAGTTGTGTGTACAAGTGTGGGGAGCAGTAGCACTATTTTACATCTATTTCGACCATGTAGTTCGTGAAGCCTTCAATAGCTGTATCGGAGGAATTTCCATCTGGTACAGATACAATGGGATGGCTGATCAATGCCTGGGTGCGGTCAGGGGATGGCTCCCTATTGCTAAACCACGTTATGTATGCCGATGATCTGGTAATTGCTGCTCACTCGGCGCTGCTGCTGAACCTGGAGCTTTCCACTAAGAGGTGGGGCCTTACCATCAGCCCCACCAAAACTAAGCACCTGCCTGGGTATTTTGTACCATCGGACACTCCACCCCCGCAACTCCCAATTGGTGATAGGGCAGTTGTGGAGAGCTTCCCCATACCTGGGCAATGTGCTCATAACCGGCTCTGGTTTAACAGCAGAGGTCTCACTCCGAATCAGTCGAGCGGCATTATCTTTTCATCGGTTGCGTAACGCTGTGTGGAAGCTACCTGGTCTGTCGCTCCACACGAAGCTTCAGGTCTTCTCGGCCACGATTATTCCCTCCCTTCTCTACGCTTGCGAAACGTGGACCCCCCCTAATGAAACATCTTCGTCGGTTAGAAACATTTAGGCTGGCCTGCCTACGATCCATCCTAGGTTTAACCAGGCTGGATTGTGTGAGGAGCTCACAAATCCTTGAAAGATCTGGACAAAGTCCCATCGGTGAGCTCCTCCGGCAGGCAAGGCTGCATTGGCTGGACCATGTCGCCCGCATGCCTAGCCACCGCATGCCTAAACAGCTTTTGTTCAGCTGGATCGAGGGGGCGAAACGGGCACGACACGGGCTAGAGAAGAGATGGAGTGACGTGGTACAGGAGGACGTGGAGCTAAGTGGACTTGCCAATGACTGGTACCAGCGGTGTCAAGATCGGCCTCTGTGGAGGAGGCTCGTGAAAGACGCTACTGGGCAGTTGGAGGCAGTCGCCCTCCAACAACAATGGAGGGCGGAGGAGCAACGCTCACAACAACGAGCGGAGCGCCGGGTGGCTAAAGCGCACAGCAAGTTGGCACAGTAGAGGGCACAGGTGGTGCATCAGCCAGTCATCTCAGTCGGTCGACCCGTGGCATTTGGGTCTGCCCCGTGATCTCCTGCCAGCGGGCGTTCGACACTTCACGTGGCCTCAAGGTGCACTTGGCCTGGCACAAGCGTCGTGGTGACGTCACCGCCACTTAGTGGCGAATGGCGGTTTTTGTTGTTGGAGCAGTAGCAGTGCTCAGCGGACTGCTACGAATGCAACGACTCGAGTTTGAGTCCCTGCCATGAGTAACATAAGTGCGAGCGATACTGAACTGGGTCTGAGCTCCTCCATTTTCGACTCGGCCTTAAATGAGGACCCGGAGCAGCGCGTAAACATCACTACTAGGGAAATAAAGATTACCGAGTGTGGTTCTGGCCAGACCATCCCTCCATGTGCTGTTCCAGCTTTAATAGATGATTGCCAACAGCACTTGCCACAGCAGTCTGTATGGCTCTTGAGATTATCTTTCAGGTTGAGTGTACATGGTTATGAACTATGAGAGTATTACATGCATGTAAGTGTCACAATCAGAATTTTGGCACATTGAAAAGTGTGGGTAGTGTCCACATCTGTTGGCTCGTGTAATCTGGGCCTGGACCATGACCGTTGCTCGTGATCCATTTGCACTTCCGGTGGCCAAAAAGTCCATGGAGCCTCGGGCCGGTGACCATTGCCCAGCAGTAGAGCATTCGCCGCTTGTTGAAGAGGTTCATGGCTGGAATCCAGTGGCCGCCCCGGTTAACACTGCGGCATTAACCATAAAATATGCACCGACTGCTTTGCAGTGGACGTTAAAGATCCTGTTCAGTCATTTGCAGGATTAGGCCACTATCAACGTAATGATCCAGGACTGCTTGGCAGAGTGGCTGGCAGGAGGAATGGAGAGAAAAATCAGCACCAAACCAATTCCTTAACGCAGATCCTACAGTCTGCCCACCTGGCTCCAACCTTCCATGCCGTCAGTGGGCCCTATTGAACAGCCGCCAGAGAGGGCAAGGTCTCTTGCAGCCAACCTCCACCGTTGGTCTTCGTGACAACCCATACTGCAACTGTGGCACTACGAACGATACGGCGTGTTGTTGTCCACTCAGCTTGGCGGAGGTCTCCACGAGAGACACGCGTGGCAATGTGGCCACTGAGGAGGCTACCGCACAGCTCGGCAATTACACACTCGCACAATGGAAATGATACAAATTTTAATATTACCTGAAAATTCCTAAACTTACATTCAAATGTTCCGTTATTTTGATTTGTTACACAGTTGATCCCGTTTAGCCAGTAGTTTGGCTATTTTACAAGGGATATCTGTGGTGCTTGAGCACAGCAGCAACAAGAATGCATACAGCAGCAATCATCACTCTTACTGCCAAAACTTGGCAGGACCTTCCTAAAAATAGTGAGGCTTTGCTGGGCAAACAAGCGGAATATTAATGTAATACATATGCACCACGCAGAAATGACTGCCACTGTAGTAAATGGCAACTTGTGTGGTCGTTTGTCGGGGAGTCATGGTGGAATAGTTATCACGCTTGCACTGCAATCCTCGTAAATGAGGTTCAGCTCCTGGCATTGGTACGAAAGCCCAGATCTCGAACTCCACACACTCGTTGCAGAAGGTGCGAGGGAGGGGACCTAGTTTTAAGGAGTGGGCAATCGGGGTGGACATCCACGATGCACAGGTGTCAGGGGGAGGAACTGACAATATATGAAGAACACCAGAAATCTGCATCCAGTGTAAGAGATTAGAGATGCGGATAAACAGCTACATAATCCTAGAGAGATGGAGAGACAAACGCAGACAAACTGAGAGATAAACGGGAAGACAGAGAGATCTAGAGGATATGTAGACATACTGCGAGTCTGCTACCATCATCTCAACTGTTAAAGTTGCCCGTGAGAGTCATTCATGAACAATCAATGTGTCATCCTGTGCGCACCACCCCTTGTGAGTCCCACATGAGAGTTATCCCATGAGTCGTCCATGGCAATCATCCCTCTGAGGTATCTTTGAGTCGCCCTGTGAGGGTTGTCCTGTGAGACTTGCCCATGAGTCACACCTGAGTGTCACCGTTGATGTTCTTCTGCTCAGTTTGTCCCCGGGAGGCGACGCCGCAGCTGCTGCTGCCCGAGGAGGAAAAAATCATCATGGAGGAGATGAGCGGAAATGGACAGACGGTCATCGAGGAGAAGTGAGAGTGTGTGAGAGTGAGTGCGAGTATACTGTGTGCGCTGTGTGTGTGTGTCTCTGTGTCAACATGTGTATATATGTGTACACGAGTGTGTGTCCACGTGTATGTATATAAGTGCATGTGTGTATATGACCGGCTCCGGTTTAACAGCAGAGGTCTCACTTCGAATCAGTCGAGCGGCATTGTCTTTTCATCGGTTGCATAACGCTGTGTGGAAGCTATCTGGTCTGTCGCTCCGCACGAAGCTTCAGGTCTTCTCGGCCATGGTCATTCCCTCCCTTCTCTACGCTTGCGAAACGTGGACCCCCCTAATGCAGCATCTTCGTCGGTTAGAAACATTTAGGCTGGCCTGCCTACGATCTCTCCTGGGTTTAACCAGGCTGGATTATGTGAAGAGCTCACATATCCTCGACAGATCTGGACACATTCCCATTAGTGAGCGCCTCTGGTGGGCAAGACTGTGTTGGCTGGGCCATGTAGCCACCATGCCCAAGCAGCTTCTGTTTGACTGGATAGAGGGGGCCAAATGGGTAGGGCATGGGCTGGAGAGGAGATGAACTGATGCGGTACAGGAGGATGTGGAGCTGAGTGGACTTTCTAAAGACTGGTACCAGCATTGTTAAGATCTGCTTCGATGGAGGAGGCTCGTGAAGGACGCTACTGGGCAGTTGGAGGTGGTCACCCTCCAACAATAACAGAAGGTAGAGGAGCGACGCTCGCAACAACGAGTGCCGGGCGGCTAAAATACAACAAGTCGGCACAGCAGAGGGCACAGGTGATGCATCTGCCAGTCATCTCAGTCCACCCATGGCACCTAGGTCTGTCCCGTCACCTCCTGATATTATATTTGGAGGAAACCATTGCGTATGGTGTGCCGTGTATGTGTGTGAATGTGTGTGCTTGAAGTGGGAAGTGGTAGTGTAGCGGTTAACGTTCCGCGTGACAAATGTGTTGACCCGGGTTTGATTCCCGCTCACAGTGAACAACAGTGCCGATTATCTGAACTGGTCTTGGGCCTCCCCTAGGGTCGACTCAGCCTCAAATGAGTACCTGGTGCGGTGTGTAAACATCACCACTAGGGAGACAAAGTTGGTTGGGTGTGGTACTGGCCACCCACCGGCTTCATAGGTGTTCGCAAACAGCACTTGCTCCTATAGTCTGTTAAGGCTATGTGGGTGATATTTGTTTATATGTTCATGAATGTGTGTGTGTGCATTTAGGAGTCTGGTGGATACAGTGTACGCCCTACGGGACCAGGTTCAGGAGCTCAAAC